ACAGCTTCTTTCCATCTGCCGTTAGACTTGTGAATAGATTATAAACACAAAACCATGCTGGTCTTCTGTACTCGACACAACATCAAGTTATTGGCCATGTTACCATTACCTGCCATTTTTTATAGCTGAAAGTTTTATTCTGGTTTTATTCTATTTTTAATCTTATTATTATTCATGTTATATGTAGCACATTAGTACCAAAGCAAGTTCCTAGATTGTGAATTGTTTGTTCACTGACAATGGCAATAAACCTATTCTGATTCTGATTACTAACTGTAGACCACTGACCTATCATGGTGAATTTTATTCTCCAGTGGGATGGCCTTCTTTATCCACCAGGAGGTTGGGACATTGGTACACCTTCATTTATAAGGCCATGCTTGGAATAATACCCACCTACATCTGTGACTTAATCTCATGGAGAAGTGTAACTTCTCACAGTCTGCAACACCAATCAACTGTTACTTTGTGTTCCGTTTCCTCACACAGAACTGGGCTAAAGGGCTTTAGTTCACTCTGCTCCTTCTGCGTGGACCAGGCTGCAGAAAAACTGGAAATTAACCGAATTTATCTCCTTGAAAACGCTTAAAACCAGACTGAGAACTCTGATTCCTGTGTTGTAACTGCCTTCTGTAATCTAGTACATAACATGTCTGTGTAACTAACATTTAGTAACTGTAACTGTTGCTGCCTCTTGGCCAGGACTCTGTTGAAAATGAGGTTTTAATCTCAATGGGACCTTCCTGGTTAAATAAAGCACAAATACATTTTAAAAATTGTTATAGAGCTATGTTTACATTTTCTTTACAAAACTCCCCAAAACTGCTTTTCTTTTGGTGTTAGGAGGACCAAATGTTTGTGCAGGTAGCAAGGGAAGATGGTTTGCTGCTAAATGAAATAGAAAGCCTAAACCACGCCCGCCTACTCCCGCACCATGGGTCTCCGGGAGAACAAAAAATGAATGTAAGTCAACGAGCCTAAAAACGCCATTTTCTAATCCCGCTTGTTTTGTGCCATGGATTTCACATATGATGTCTGTGAATTTTAAAGATGCATTTAGATACCAAGAGCAGGACGGGAAATGTGGGTGTAGAGGTGGCGACCGCATGAAGAGGTGGAAGAGAATGAAGGACTAATTTGTCCGTGTTATAAAGTCTCTGAAATCTATAAACACGTCACTAAATACATTATCAGGGACCGGATACATGAGTGTTATGGAGGCAGCAGGTGCGCAATAGGGTGGGGGGGGTCTGCCCCCCCCCCCCCAGATTCAGATCGAACCCGATCCGTCCCCCGCACTAAGGCCAGAAAGAAAACAATATCAGAGGTTAAGCGCTTGAAGCTCCTTTTTCCAATTATATTGAATGCAGCATGACGTAAACAAACACCGACTCCAGAGGCGCCAAAGTAGTTGCTGCTAGGATGCAGGATGAAGCAACGATTACTGCGTATTTAAAAAAGTGTAAGTAGGCGGGACCGGTCTGTCTGTTTATGCATGTTGGTTCTAGTTTCAGTACGTTGTGGTCAGTGTTGGGACATACTCGTTAAAAGCACCAAAGCCTCATTGCTGACTTTAACAAGTCTCCTCTACAAATATGATCTCTCATGAAGTTACTTCTTTACATCAGAAGATAGTGGAGATGTGTAACCTTCAGGCTGAGCAATGTTTTGGAGTTTTTAAGAGTTTGAAAAATGCCTCCCGCCGAGGAGTGGAGATGCCCGCAACATGAAGAGCGCAAATATTAGATAAAAACATATAATTGCCGGCAGGTCTGGTCTTTGTTGACTGATCACTTTGTCTGGTAATGACTGATTATGAAGCAGAATATTGACTCTGATGAAGAAATTCACTCATCCAGCCGGGAAGATGGACGCTGCTGCAGCATCAGACAGCTGGTGCTGCACGAGAGGTGTGTGGAGTTTATAAGCTCCAAATGTTGGGTTTAATGTTTGATTAACCTTCTTTGGGACGTGATGGATATAGAAATGATGGTAAAAACACCGCTAACATGACAGACGTAGCGAAAATGTTAAAAAAAAATTGTAAAAAAGGAGCAGATGCTAATGCATTATATATGGAAGTCAAAGTGTGCCACATAATCATAAAAAATAGGTAATATAAAATTTAAAGAGCTTCATTTATGTATACCGTAAATCCTCTAATACAGGCCCGGGCCTGTATTTGACTCAAGCTCATCAAGCTCCAGGCCTTTATTGGAAGGAGGACCAGAATTAGAGGCAGGCCTCTATTTCTATTTGAGCAAAATGAACTAATGGTTCGCTGGAGTTTTTGACAATTAAAATTGTGCCCACATTTTCAAAGTTAAACACATTTCTTTTAACAACGGTAGTTTCTGCTTGAGCCCTCCACCCCCCCACCCCACCCCCTCGCGCAGCGCCACAAACTCACTGATGCGCCTGCAGCCTCTCAGAGTACCTGCTGCTCTAAACATTAAAATAATTATTTCATTTTCTGTTCCTCACTTCTGATTATGGTGTCTGTCTGTTGCAACCACCAGGTACAAAAACTAACTTGTTTTTACTTGACTATTTTTCTGTCCTGTATCTGTTTATTATCTTCCTGCATCTCCTCTCAGTCCTAAAGAAAAACTGCTACCTGGGTTCATATATATTCACCTTATGAGTTACCTTTGAACTGCAGTTCTAAAAGATCTACCGACCGCAAAAACAGCGCAGTGTGCGCTGCTTGCCGGCCGCATCGGTGATCGGTGCGTCACCGGAGGACAAGGTGCTGCGCCTCGCTCCACAGCAGCGAAACGCATCAGGCACAACTAAAAGAATAAAAGACAGAAAACATGCAAGGAAATGAGCCGACATGAACGATCGCGTGTTAAATTAGTCTTTGAGGTGGCGACACATGATTTGATCATGTTACTGTGGCCGTGCTCAGGACGCAGATGTCTGGAGCGCGTCAACAATCAGAGGTTTGCATGCGCAAGCTGGTTAAGGTTAGGATGGGGTGAGGGGAATGTTAAATTTCAAGAGGGTAAACGTCACAATTTGGTTAAATGTCCATTTTACGGCGGGTGTCAGTACCGACGCTCTGGCACAGCGCGTTGCCTCCCGACGCGCAGGAGCTTGTCACCTGCTGACAGCAGGCTGCTGTCTTTTCCGTGGACTGCATCTTGCCGGTCATTATCACGTGACAGCGTCTAGTCGATGGCAGGCATAAAAAGTCACTATAGTGAAGTCGACTAGATCATACAACCCCTACTGCTCCCCAGTGTTCTGCAACATAATCGGCACGTTCTCTTTGAACTTGATATCAAATTTTCGCCTCCTCTTCATCTCCGCACCTGCCAAATCGCGGTCTATCACTGGCAAATCAAAAGTGAGACGGATAACACAACCCCCCCCCCCCCCCCCCCCCCCCCCGTGGTACTTGCTTGTTACCACATTCCACCCGGCTACAATAAAATACCGGCCATTATTCACCTCCGCCGACACCGGCCAAAATATGATACCCGGCCGTTAATTGAATACAGGCCAATATTAGAGGATTTACGGTATATAAATGACAACTTTCCAAATATAATGAAAATGTCTAAATGTAAAAATATGAAGGAACATCTGTTGGTCAGGCTGAAAAGTTTGGGAACTACTGCTCTAAGTGATAATTGTTTTTTAAATATATTTTATGTGCAGTTTTTTTAGGACTTACGTTTTCTGAAAAGATTGGTATGCTGAAAATCATTTAATGTTTTGCATAAAGCATGAGGTTTTGGTTAGTAATCGATTGGGAGAATAACAAATGACTGACTTGGATAGTGATGATCGGGCAGAGCTTTGTTGCCAGCGTTCCATTGGATAATGGCTTCAAACACGTATATAATAGTGTTATGTTGTAAACCATTGGATGAAATTACACAAACTGGCTGAGCTCTAGTTAAGGCACTAGCAATAGTTTGTGTATGCGTATGTGCGTGTGTGTGTGTCTGGAGGAGGGTACATTGGAATTTTGTCCCCCCCAGTTTGAAAATCCTATCTGGCCCCTCTGGGTGGCAGGCATCGACATATAAATATGTGGCAGGGTACTACAGAACAGCACTACGCCCTCTGTTGTCCTGGTGGGGAAATTGCTTTCCAAAGCTTCGCTGACTGAGCAGAAGTTCCAATGTGAGAACCTTTCCGACACTCCGTGTAACGTCTCTTCGTTGCGGACTCACGGAGAAGGCTAAAATAATATATATAAATCAGGCTTCAATCTGGCCATGTGGTAAGTAGCAGCTACGCTAGGGGAGAGGAGATTATGTGGTCACATACGCAACGTGCCGATTTCTGGTGTGTAGTCATGCTAATTATGAACTTTTACAAGCTAATAAATCTCAAAGTACGTGACTGGCGTGGTCGAAACACCCATTATAACTTTTCATTTAAATTGCAGTACAACATATGTGCGATCCAGGGCATAAGGCTAAGCGGATTATAAAATAGCGTTTTTAGCCCCGTTGACCTAAGTGATTTAGGCTTCCTATAGCCAATCTTAGTAAAGTCCTTCTAGCCAATCACAGGCGAGAAAGGCAGGGTCTTCCTTGGAAATCATACATTCCACATGACGCATTCTGACCATAGACTGTACATACATTCTGACAGATATCTGCAAGCATCTATGAGTCAAACCGAAAAAAAATCAAAAGGCAGCAAACTGATAGTGGGGATGTATTTCCGGGTTCCTAATGTTGCGACAGCCCACTCACCAAGCAGGCCACACACACACACACACACACACACACACACACACACACACACACACACACACACACACACACACACACACACACACACACACACACACACACACACACACCTCGGTAGGACGTGGCGCGCGGATGAAATCACGGCGGTGAAACTGTTACTAAAGTCCAGTAAAGTTGAACCGGAGGAAGAACTCGACGAAACGCTCCAGAAACTTTCGGTTGTTCCCTTCCCGGTTCTCTCCGTTACCGGAGGCGATAGCCTGAAGTCTAAAGGCAGCATACCGCGCTCAGGAACGGGTCGTCCGCCTCGTCCTCGTCGCTGTCTCGGTCCGGGACTGCTGCCTCCAGCACCTCTGGGTCTTCGGACTCCGGGAAAGGAGGAGGGCTGCGCTCCGAGCTGGACGCCATCTTCACTTGGGTCGGTCTCTGAAGCTCGAGGGGAGGTAACGTCTCCTTGTCCGCTTGGCTCTCGGTCAGCTACTCGCGTTGCTCCTTCAGAGACTGATACGAGCTCCGCCACACGGTCGCGGTGCTGTTGCTTCCCCCGGAGTGGTGGAAGTGACCCGGAGCAGGAGGTGCTTTCCGCTGCTGCCTTTCTACTTCCTGCTCCTCCTTCTCTTCAGGTTAGCTTCAGCGTTAGCCACACCGCCACGAGCCAGGGAGTGATGACACGGCGGTCCGAGGGCAGCTAGATCACCTGTCCACAGGTGCTGCTTCTTTAAACACACCTGGCTAAGAGGAGGGGGGATGTCCGGGCACCAGCATAGCGGGGAGGAGGAGGCGGCGAGATGGCCGCTTCTCACTGGAGATCACCTGGACTCAGAAGGAGGTAACCTGGCTTTAGTTTTTACATTAGACGTGAGTAACACCTGGGCTCTGATTGGCTCTAGTCATCTATTAAATTAGCATCAAGTTAACCGGATTAATAAGCTCTGGCTAGTTCCATTAAATACTTTTAACTAACTAACATCTGGAGGTTTCTTCCTGTTAAAAGGGAGTTTTCCTCTCCACAGTCGCTGCATGCTTGCTTCGGATTACTGTAAAGACTGACACTAGTCAGTGACTCGATGCAACCTGCTGGGTTCCTTACATAGGAAACTTTTTACTGATTGGCATAATGACCTGACCTGTATTTGAATGTTTACTGTGTGAAGGTCCTTGAGACGACTCTGGTCGCGATTTGGTGCTTTATAAATAAAATGAATTGAACTAAAACTAAACAACTAATCAAAACATTTGTTTGCGTGTCCATGTGTGTCTTTGTGCTCATGTGTGTGTTTGTGGACATGTGTGTGTTTGTGCTCATGTGTGTCTTTGTGCTCATGTGTGTGTTTGTGCTCATGCGTGTGTTTGTGCACATGCGTGTGTTTGTGCTCATGTGTGTGTTTGTGCTCATGCGTGTGTTTGTGCACATGCGTGTGTTTGTGCTCATGTGTGTGTTTGTGCTCATGTGTGTGTTTGTGCTCATGTGTGTGTTTGTGGACATGTGTGTGTTTGTGCTCATGCTTGTGTTTGTGCTCATGCGTGTGTTTGTGCTCATGCGTGTGTTTGTGCACATGCGTGTGTTTGTGCTCATGTGTGTGTTTGTGCTCATGTGTGTGTTTGTGCTCATGTGTGTGTTTGTGCTCATGTGTGTGTTTGTGCTCATGTGTGTGTTTGTGCTCATGTGTGTGTTTGTGGACATGTGTGTGTTTGTGGACATGTGTGTGTTTGTGCTCATGTGTGTGTTTGTGGACATGTGTGTGTTTGTGGACATGTGTGTGTTTGTGGACATGCGTGTGTTTGTGGACATGTGTGTGTTTGTGCTCATGTGTGTGTTTGTGCTCATGTGTGTGTTTGTGCTCATGTGTGTGTTTGTGGACATGTGTGTGTTTGTGCTCATGTGTGTGTTTGTGGACATGCGTGTGTTTGTGGATATGTGTGTGTTTGTGGACATGCGTGTGTTTGTGGACATGTGTGTGTTTGTGGACATGCGTGTGTTTGTGGACATGTGTGTGTTTGTGGACATGTGTGTGTTTGTGCTCGTGTGTGTGTTTGTGCTCGTGTGTGTTTGTGCTCGTGTGTGTTTGTGCACGTGTGTGTTTGTGCTCGTGTGTGTTTGTGGACATGCGTGTGTTTGTGGACATGTGTGTGTTTTTGCACATGTGTGTGTTTGTGCTCATGTGTGTGTTTGTGCTCATGTGTGTGTTTGTGCACATGTGTGTCTTTGTCCTCATGTGTGTGTTTGTGCAAATGTGTGTGTTTGTGCTCATGTGTGTGTTTGTGCACATGTGTGTCTTTGTCCTCATGTGTGTGTTTGTGCACATGTGTGTGTTTGTGCTCATGTGTGTGTTTGTGCACATGTGTGTGTTTGTGCTCATGTGTGTGTTTGTGCACATGTGTGTGTTTGTGCTCATGTGTGTGTTTGTGCACATGTGTGTGTTTGTCCTCATGTGTGTGTTTGTGCACATGTGTGTGTTTGTGCTCATGTGTGTGTTTGTGCTCATGTGTGTGTTTTGTGCACATGTGTGTGTTTGTGTGTGATTGCCAGAAGAAGTCCTGTTTGACCAGAGGATCTCAGGCGAATCCAGAGAAGGTGCAGGGAAAGCGCTGACGTACGAGGAAGCCGTGGAACAGACGGGTAACCTGAGTTTCTGGTGTTTTAACATCTTCTCATCTCTGAGCTTCTACAGATAAAAACATGTGTTACACCAGTAGAAACTACTGAAACCTTCATGAAGCACTTTTTTTTTAAGAGTAACTGGTCTGGATGGGTCAGTGTGCAGACTAAAGTGGTGCTGGTCCTCTCCGTGTTCTGGTTCTGCTCTCAGGACTGGGGTTGTTCCACTGGCTGCTGCTGCTGGTGTGTGGCTGGGCCAATGCCAGTGATACCGTGGAGATCCTGTGTGTGTCTTTTCTGCTGCCGACGGCACGCTGTGACCTGCAGCTCAGCTCCTCAGACATGGGCCTGCTCACTGCCAGCATCTTCCTGGGTGAGTCGCAGCTCAAACGCACCCGTCCACTGATAATTTAGAGATTTCTAGATAGAAGTTGTGCAACAGCTGGAGCTAAAGCCAGACTCCTGTGGGAACATCTGTTGTTTTTTATCCAGCCGGTGCTCATTGTGAATGTGACATAATCCTGGACCACACTTGTAAGCTAAATGGAAAGTTCTAGCTGATCTGTGTGGAAGAAGCTTTTTATTTGATTCTTTTAACTAAAAACATCATCCTTGTGAAACAAAATAGTCTTAACAACGATTACTTTGTAAATAAAATAAAAGTGGAACACACATACTGTATGGCGCTTGGACATTAGCATCGGCACCGTTGGGGTTTGGTGGGGCTGAATGGCGTGAGTTCGGTCTCCAACTGGTAAATCTGAAGGACTTCTCAGGAATACAGAAATCCCTGAGCCCGTGGGCGGGGCTTAAAGCTTCTTTCCGGAGTATTTCTCTTATCCAATGGCACCATCTAGTGGCTAACAAGCATATCACACAAAAAAATCTGTTGCTCTGTTTTTTTTAAGATGGCGACTTCACGTTTCTGTTTATAAATGTGCTTCTGTAGCCGACAAACAGCTAAAACACGTTGTTTTACGAGTATTATTCTCATGTCATGTTGTGTTCTCATATATTTATATTTAAGAGACTTACTTGTCCGTGAAAAGTTCATCAACTCTGCATCAGCCGAGGTATTCCTTAAATTTCAAGCATCTAAGCGGTAGTCTAACGCTATTGGCTAGTTCTGGTCGGTGCTCAGTTTCCTAGTGCACGGAGCTCTGCGGTGCAGGGGGTGTGCTTAGCAAAAAACAAACAAAGTATCTCTTACATTTTATGACCGTGCATGATGAGACAATCACTTTTACGGATTTCTGAAAAATCATACATCATTTCTGAAAGAGGAGAACTCCGGAAAGCAGCTTTAATACGCGCGGGAAAGTCTGCGGTGTCCTCCATCATAAGGTAAACAAAGGTGGACATGAGCTGTGTTGCTTTTGGAGACTCTGAACCACATTATTGTATTATTTTGCTGTGTGTGTCCTGATGATCTTGTGACACACACACGCACGCACACACACACACACACACACAGCTCACTCTCCTCCTGTTCCCACTGATCAGCAGCTCCGTGCTACAGACGGAGAAGCTTTCATGCATGCAGCATGAAAATGAACCGCTTTTACCCCCTGCTGGCTGATTCTACTCGCAGATTGGGGGCGGTAGGCATCATTTTAGCCGGCTAAACAGTCCGTAGCGTCACCCCGGTCCCAGTCTGACCGCTGGGGAGAAGATCAGAAAAACAGATTTGGAACCGAAAATGCTAATATGACCTGTATGTGTGACTCGTGTGTGTGTGTGTGTATGTGTGTGTGTGTGTGTGTGTGTGTGTGTGTGTGTGTGTGTGTGTGTGTGTGTGCGTGTGTGTGTGTGTGTGTGTGTGTGTGTGTGTGAGACCCGTGTGTGAGACCCATGTGTGTGTCCCGTGTATGTGGCCAATGTGTGTGACCCGTGTGTGAAGCCAAATTCTGGTCCCACAAACCGACGCTAATGTGTAAGCGCCAATAGTGGTGTGAGACCAGGGGTCCCCGAGTTAAAGGTGTGGGACATAAACGTTTAATAAATACTGTTTCTGCAGGAATGATGGTGGGCGGCTACATTTGGGGGTATCTGGCTGACCAGCGGGGGCGCCGTAGAGTCTTGGTGGTCTCGCTGACTGTAAATGGGCTGTTTGGAGGTCTGTCGAGCATCGCTCCCTGGTTCTGGCTCTTCCTGTTGCTGCGATTCATCAGTGGAGTGGGGTGAGAATATGTGTGTGTGTCTCAGGAAGTGATCATCACTAAACCACCTATAACTGATCACTTAACCCTCCCACTGTCTTTATGGATGACCCCGCGAGGAAAGTTGACCACTGAGCAGGGTTGATGGTTTATCTCTTGGGTTCATATGGCAGGGGTGAGGAGTGAGCACCACCTCACCCCTGCCACGTGGACCTCAAGTCACAGATGGCCACAGCTGATCAGACTGTAATAGACCCTGTGCATGAGAAAGTGCTAACTTCTGGGGTATTTACCGGAAGTTAGCACCGTGGTTTCCTGTTAGCGTCCTACGAGCTACAACCTAACGGCGTCCCTGAAAAAGAAAGTCATCTCGGCTAAAACTACCACAAAATTTTAACGTAGTGACGGTGGAGGAGGTAGTTGCTACTGTTGTGTACCGTTGTGTAGTACTTCCAGTCGATTTAAACAGTTTGTTGAGCTTCCATCGCTTTCCAAAACAGGCTAATCTGCGCAAAGCATGGATCGGTAAAATAAGACATGTTGGGTTAATAGCCACACCAAACACAAGGGTGTGTAATCGGCACTTTGAAAGTGCACGTATCAGAACTTTGCCAAGTGGTAAGCGGAGCCTTTTGCCCAATGCCGTTCCCACGTTATTCCGGTGGAACAACTGTGGAGAAGCTAAGGGGAAGCGAACCGGAATTTGGGAACGTCGCCCACGGCCGAACCAGAATGACATGGCACAGCTGGAAGAGGACGTTTCCGCTGCGTCAGGGAGCCCCTTGGCTGTTGACTTGGAGCTTCCACAAGAAGTCCCTAGTCCTGTACCAGAAGACCACGACTGTGCAGCCAGCTCATTCCTGGTTCTTGACCGAATCAAATATGAAAACATGGTCAAGGAAATTGAGGACTTCCACCAGCAAGTGCAGTCCCTGCAGCTGACACAAACTTTTGGCTTGGAGCGGTTTCGTCATCACCAGAGGATACACGATATTACACAAGGTAACTGTTTCTTCACAAGCTCACATCCCTTGTAGACAGCGATGTGAGCTTGATTTCCACCCAGTTGTTACTATAAAGGATTTACAGAGGTTTTTCCTATTCATAATGCTAATCTAAAACTATAGATACTTCTAGTTCTAATACTAATAAGACTATCCATAGTTATTCTCGTTTTTCTATCTATCTGTCTGTTTATTTATCTGTCTGTGTCAGCTTGACTGGGTAGCTTTCAATATTTCATAATTGTTTTTGCTTTTTAACTAATATGCAAACTGAGATTATTGTTGTTTTCATGCAGATTTTCATCCTATGAACACACGATGGCTTTTTGGAATCTCATCCAAGAGGCAACGACTAGGATAGTGAGGGTTACAGCTGGGATCTTTCCACCAGCACTTCCACTGAGACTCCTTTGACAAGACCTACTGTAAATATTACATTTACGCACTATTAATTAAGGTGTGTTGCTTGCTACTCACTGAGCTTACTTTCTTTCAGAAATTGTTGCCAATTGATGGGTTCTTCCTTTTTCTGAACTACTTGGCAACTGGGTGTACTTAGAGTGAACTCAGCCACAGGTTCAGCATCCACTGAGCTACTGTCAGTAGAATACTTGTGACATGGGCCAATTTTCTCTACATTGTCCTTGGGTCTGTCTCCATCTGGATGTCCTCTGATGCTGTGAAGGTAAACAATTCAAATGATTTTGATGGAGTGTATGAAAATACCCACGTCATCCTTGATTGCACAGAAATGAAGTGCCAAAAACCCTCATCTCTTTTACTTCAGAGCAAAGTATTTTCTAACTACAAATCCCATTGCACCTTCAAAGCACTTGTGGGCATGTCTCCTCATGGTGCTCTTACTTTTTTATCTGCAAAAGAAGAGTCAAGGAAAACAAGCTTTTTGACACGGACATCCCTCTTTCCATTTCAGGAAGCATAAATCAAATATTTACAGCGGCGTCTCCTCACAAATTATCAGTATGGTCGTCTAGTTAAAAAATGGATATAAAAACAACTGAAAAATAAGTCCTACACAGAAAAAGGTTCAGTGGACTTATAAAAGCAACCAGCAGCACACCTTTTATAAGTTTTACGTGTACAAAGATTTAAAAAAAATTATTAATCTCTACTCTTTACTTTGAGTGGAAAGAATTTATTTTAAGTATATGCGTGTTTTCACTGTCAAAACTACAGGGTAGTTTGGCAGGATCTTTTTTGGGGGGGGGTAATTTCATGGTCCCGGTCCTAAGGATTGCATCTCCATTAAAACCATCTCCTTAAAGGACTCAGCTGAAAGCAGCGTCACTAATCGGCACTAAAAAGCGCTCCGAGTTCCAGAGATCAGTAGCAGGGGTGACTGCTTCCACCACAGCAACACCAGCCAGGAGTGGCTGGCGTTTTTCTGAGTTTTTTTAAACTTCTTCGTCTCACTTTTTTAAACAGTTTCTCCACCAACTCTTCTTACATCATAACGCCTCATGTGTGGCGATGTCTGCTGATTTCACCCTGGTGACATTGTTATGTTTGCTTGTGCAATTGCAGATGCAGTTCTTGTAATTTGTATCATTTTCTGCTACGTAGTACTTTTACTTCAGTACAATTTGTGTAGTCTTTGTCTTTGTATTTTTGTAAATTGCATAGTCTACTACCATTCATTTCTAATCTCAATGCATATCTCTAAGTTTGCAGGGCATTTTGTTTTTTGAAATGGGCATTTAGCTGTTGTTTCCTTTGATTTTTGATAATCATAAATGTATAAACTAGAAGTACTGAATGGTGTACAACTGGAAAATTAATTATAAATAAAGTGAATGAATGTTTTCAAAAAGTCCACACTTTATTACCATTGATGCACATCATTTTCATTTTATTTCACAGTACACAAGCTGCCTAAACTTAACAATTACTATTGAACCTTGACCAATGACAACAGAAAAAAATATAAAAGAGCACAATTTGTCTCTCATTTAAAGTATCTTAAGTGCTGCAGTACTTCATTACAAACAACAATACTCTTAAATGTGGACATTCAATTTTAAATGACCATCATGTTTAGCTGCAGAGCTAAACATGGTAAACAGGCTCTTGTCATTCAAGAGCCAAACCTGATTGGTTTGTTTACACTGTGTAGAGAATCAAATCTATTCCAAACATTTGTCAATGTAGACATCAAAGTAAAAACTATCTACTTTCTGTTTGATTGTATTACTGACACTGACATCTCTGTAGATCCTCTGGATGGACATGTCTTCTTGTGCTGAGACCACAAAGTCACACCAGGGGTCTCATTTATCAAACTTAGCTTAGAATCCTTACTGAAACCGTACTTAAGCTCAGCAAAAAAAATGTACTTACGCCAAGTAGGTTTGTGATCTATCAAACATGGAGTACGCACAGCTGCACGCAATCTCCGCTTCATAAATCAGAAACTATCTAGAATGTTTCTCAGCTGCTTTTTAGTCACATCCCTCCCTCACCACGCCCACTTACTGCCATAAATAGTCAATGCAAAGTGCCTTGTGGATCTCATGCATATACATAAGCCGGCTGTTGCGGCGCTACGCCAATGACATGGCGACCGTAGATCAAGGCAGCTCAGGGAAGTGCAATTTCACAGAAGCAGAAATTGAGGTACTTGTGGGTGAGGTGGAGAAATGAAAGGAAGTGCTTTTGCAAAACAAATAAGAGAAAATCCACGGAGTGGCACAGCGTTGCTGAAGCCGTCAATGTTGTGAGTTCTTCAAAGAGATCTGTGGCGGATATAAAAAAATGGTCCAATCATGATTCGATCCCCAGACTCCCGGGTGAAAGTCACACACGCTAACCAGTTACCCAAACGGAGATCTCCCTTTTCCAAGTTGCCAGGGCGCATGATCAATCGGGTCATGGTGACAGGACACACACTGTCACAGACGAATGACATTCTGTCTCAATCTGTCCCCCTGCTGATATTCAGCATTCCGTATTCTGCGCTTCAGGCTGTGTGTGTTTATGTGTGTGTGTGTGTGTGTGTGCGCGTGTGTGTGAGTGTGCGCGTATGTGTGTGTGTGTGTGTGTGTGTGCACGCACGCGTGTGTGTGCGTGTGGGGGTTCTTGTTCTGTGTGTACGAAGCAGTACAAGTGATAATGCTGCAGGCTTTCATAATTGTATCCTCAGCAGCAGCACTGCAGGTGCTCTCCATGTCCAAAATGTGCGTAAGCCAGGTCCTTAGTCAACTTAAAGTTGCGCACATTTTTCTGCTTAGTTTTCTTTCATAAATCCCAAAGTTTGCATGGAAAGTTGCTTACGCAGTTTTCCGACCCCGTTTTGCGTAAGCAAGCTTGATAAATGAGGCCCCTGGTCATCTCTGTTACTAGCAGTTGACCCTGCACTTGCCAGTAAAAGGAATGAGTTTGTTTCAGCTGAACTGTTCCAGTGATTGCCTTGAAATAAGGACAGTCCACATAACTATGTACATTTGGACACTTGATCTCAACCAGTCCAAACTGTGGGTCTTCTGTAGGGTCAAATACCTTCCCATCTGGAGATTTGCCAAGCCATGGTGCATCTGGGTGCACAACAAAACCACATTTGAAGTGGTTTAGGCGTTTGACCCGGCAGTACTCCCAAATGCCATCTGCCTCTATCTCCAAGCCCCTCTTCATTGCCGCTGTTGGGTGGGTGCCGCTTAAAAGCCGATTTGCCAGCCCCTCCTTAAACGCCTCACCCACCTGGCATATTTCTCTAAAACGAGATGCTGTTAGTCTGGGTCGTCTCAAGGTATGCCAGTCGCTACATAGACTCTGCTCCCGGGTGCCTTCTTCTATCTGGCGAGACATTTCCCAGGTCACTTCCAGACTTTGTAGTTGCAACTGTTGTTTTCTACTGCACGCAAACATGCACTCTGAATATTATGGGACCATAATACATATTAAATAAGATCTCATGGGGGCCAAATGTGGCCCACAAACTGATGCTCATTCAGAGGGAGACCCTGGTGTGTCTCTGCAGGGTTGGCGGATCAATTCCGGTCATCTTCTCCTACTTCTCAGAGTTTATGCCTCGTGTGAAGAGAGGGGCGATGATCAGTGCCCTGGCTACGTTCTGGATGGGGGGGAACATCCTGGCTGCAGGTTTGAGTGACAGGATTTGAGCCTTTTTCAGTTGTAATGGCATTATTGAGGATTATTTTCTTCTCACGTAGGTCTTGCCTGGTTAGTGATCCCCAGAACCTGGGCACATGTTTCTCTGGGAACTCTAGACTTCCAGAGCTGGAGGCTGTTTGTGGTGTTCTGCTCCGTTCCCAGCATCACCTCAGCAGTCATCTTCAAACTGCTCATGCCCGAGAGCCCAAAGTTCCTCTTGGAGGTTTAAAAAAATCCAGATCAGCTCATGTGGTGCTTTTTTCTCCTGGCTTACCTTTGACACTGGTTTCCTGATTCTTCCAGGCTGGTCGGGAAAATGAGGCGATCCGTGTTTTCAGACTGATGTTTGAACTAAACATGAAGAAAAGCGGGAAGACCTTTCTGGTAGGCAGAAAGTACAGGTTTCTCATTTAACTGACTGAAACTCAAAGGGAAGCTGGAGCTTTCTTTTCCACTGTGTACTCACTCATGTCTCAAACGCTTTTTGAAGGAATTTGGTTTGTGTCCGAGCTCCAGGCTCAGAGAGGAGCTGGAGGAGGTTCAGGCTTCCCCAGGTCAAAATCTACCATTCATTTTAAAACAGGTGTGTCTGCTGTTATCACCACAGCTCCTGTAGAGTAAACTGTACCTCCTCTCCTGGGCCCTCATCCATCACCATACTTATGCACAGATCTGATTGTAGTTCGTGTGTAGGAACAGTTTTACACATTGTGTGGTACTTACAATTTTATACTTGCGTCTAGAAATGCTCCTAAATATGAGACCAGCTCTGATCAAGAGTACCAACCACATCTAGTCGTAGAACGGAGGAACCACAGCACTGAAGGTCCCAGTGTTCCTTACTGACTAATTATTTTACCCAGTCAGTAATGATGTCTGTCGAGAAGCAGCTTTAGAACCTAAAAGGCACCCGTGACTGATGGGAATCAGACACGGTAGCATGGCTAATCTGGTGTTATTGGTGGATTTGGCAGAGTGCGCTCTCTGGAGGGTACGTGACTTCCGTGAGCGCTCTGATCCGAGATTCTCGAGTCGATAACGTTCTAAATTTCATTGTTGGAAAGTAAATTCTTCTGAAGCTATGCCATGATTTAAAACTCTTTGTGGAGCCACAGACAAACCACACAATTCCAATCCATATTAACCACTTTAGGATTTTTTCATATTTAGTTTTATGTCCAATCTTTTCTTTATGTCTGACAGGGACATCTCCTCTGTTCCAACCATGTCTACAGCCTCTGAAGCGTCATTGGTTTTCTTCTACCTTGGCAGCCAGTGCCTTGACCTGGCTCTCATTTAAGTTAGCTTTTTTCTGGGAGGAACACAGAGGTTCCTCTCATGAGCTGAGGACGTGGTGTGACCAAATACGGTTCATTCAGGGTGTTTCTGTGTCTAAATGACTCTGATGGAAGCACCTGAGTACCCAAAGGTGGGATTTATCCACAGCTGGTTGTGTAGCAACATGAGTACGAGTAACCACCGCATGCTTCATACATCAGGATTTTGGTCAATCACACGAACGTTGTAAATTATAGGATGGAATATAGGACAGTCTGTACAGACGTTTGATGAATGAGGGCCCTGGACCGAAGCCTGGAATTAGCTTTTGGTTCCTTCAACGTGACAAATGACTGACTGACTGTTCCACTCAGAGTCTGGAGCCAATCAAACACATGTTCAGAGGTCATCTCAGACTCAGGAGCATTGCTCTACTCATCATCTTCTACTGCATCTCCTTTGGGTGAGAACACCAGCTTTAGGGTTAGGCGCTGCTGCCAGAGATAAATGTTAGAGCAGCTTATCTCCAGGAAGCAGAGGCCTGCCTCGACATGGGTGTGTGTGTGTGTGTGTGTTAGGTATTACGGCCTGTGGATGTGGTTTCCAGAGCTCTTTGCCAGAGCTGAAGACGGCGGCTCCCCCTGTGCCAACATGCCCCTCCCGTCCCCTCTCCAGAACCAGAGCTGCTACCCGGTGAAGACCGCAGGTTTGTTCATGGAGGACAACCATGGGTTTATGGTGATTCCTTCCTGATCATAATCAATTTTCATTTCATTCACAATTAATTTAATAATGTCTGACTGCCTGTTGTGCTGCGTGATGGGAACTTTGTTGTCCTCAGTAAGATTCAAGACCTCCTGTTGTTACAACAGAAAGAAAGGAAGGTTTGATTTTACAGTTTTCAAAAGAAAAAAACAAGTTATTTGTGAATATTCTTAATTTTAATGGTGAATGTTGACAGCAGCAGCTGCAGGTTCACTGTGAGCGCCAGTGATGTCATCCATGAGTCCGTCTGATCGAAGATGCCGTCAGCATTAGTAAACACATAGATGTGGGCAGATTTAGAACAGGGAAATTGTTAATTCATTACATTTTTAAATCTTGATTAAGCGCATGAGTGTCCAATAGGGATGTCCCAATACAATTTTTTTTACTTTTAATACGATCAATCCGATACGACAGGAAGTCTTATTACAGCCTTTATCTGAAATCACCTTTTTATTCTAGTTTTGATCAGAAATGACAGGATTTAACATGTATTCATAATTAGTATTATATTATTTTGGTATATTAAATCGTATGTTTCTACTTGGTTATAATTTATCCGTGTGTTTTATTCAGATTTTTATTTATCAGGTGTTTATGCTTCATTTGATTCTTAACTTGCTATCTTAATCTGATTAGATTATACCAGTGTTTCCTTTGTGGAGGCAGCGGTTGGCGGTGGCTGCCGGGGTGCTTCTCCTGCCTCCTCTTGGTGCCATGTGGTGGTGCCCGGGCTGCTGCTCCCGGTTCAGTTGGCTCCTTTTAGATTACATGTGTGTGTGTGTGTGTGTTTGCATGGGATGCGATTGATAGGCAGGAGTGGGAAATTGACTGTTCTTAAACTTGTGCAGTGCTTTGAGATTTGCACATTGCATGAGAAGTGCTTCATAAATAAGTTGATTTGTACGTTTAAGCTTTGATCCAGTCTTTCAGGGTCGGGCTCCTGTTGCATTCTGGGACTGAATCTGTTCTGTACTGATTCCTCTCACCAACAGTCTACAAGGAGAGCTTCATAATCGCTGCCTGCAACCTGCCTGGAAATGTCTTCACCATCCTGTTCATGGACATCACAGGAGGAAGGAAGCTGCTCTGTGAGTTCCTCTCAGATCCCTCTAGCATACCACTTAATGTTCTCCAGCTCTGGAGTCCACAAGTGTGTGTGTGTGTGTGTGTGCGTGCGTGCGTGCGTGCGTGCGTGTGTGTGTGTGTGTAGCCACCAGCCTGATGGCGTCCAGTCTGAGCGTCTTCCTCATCTACGTGGTCCAGACAAAGACCCAGAGTCTGGGCCTGTCCTGCATCTTCAGCGGAGTATCGGTGATTTCCTGGAACGCTCTGGATGTGGTAGGAACCGAGCTGTACCCCACCCGGCTACGGTAAAATTCCCCACCCTGCATCAGGATCAACGTTTCAAAGAGCTTTAATTAACCATGCAGCTTCTGTGTGTGTTCCAGTTCCTCTGCTCTCGGTTTCTTCTCTGGAGTGGGCCGAGTGGCGGCCATCATGGGCAATGTAGTCTTTGGGAAGTTGGTGGACACAAACTGCTTTGTTCCCATCCTGTTGGTGTCGATCCTGCTGCTCACGGGAGGACTGGTGGCTCTTTTGCTCCCACAAACCAGACAGACGGAGCTGACCTGATCCGATGACTCCATCCATCCCAGAACCACCAGCATTCGGCCTCCACAAGGAGAGACTGGGGGGCTGTTGCACTTACACCACTGAAATGGCCATCTTCAGCTTTCAGCCAAATCTTTGTGACATAAACAGGCTAGAGATAAAAACACTGATTCATGTCCTTCCTGCTACTTCAGTCAGCCAAGAGCAACTTTTAACCTGATTATAAATGATAAATAATAGTTGGAGAAAGGATCGTTCATGTTGCACCAGACAGCCTTAAGTGTTCCACACAAGCATTCCTTTGTCACTAATAAATAACATAAACACTAACTTTACTGACATTAAAACCCTAACTAGAGAAGTTCCAAACGTTAATGCCACCGTAACTTTACAACCTCTTCACTTATTCGCAGAACAGTTCATAACAGAGCGGCTTCAGGATAACAAAACAGCCGCTGACCAGAAACTGAAACAACAACCTGAACTCCCCTTCAAAATAAAACTGTAATGATAGCGGTGCTCTTGTTTCTGTACAACAATAACTAAATAAACAGCGTTTCTTGTCGATTGTTTGATCTTGTGTGTTGTTTGAATGTTGGAAGCTGAAACAGCTGAAAAACTGAAGTGAGGCTAAAACTGAGCAACACTTTAAAAAAAGAGCCAAACTTACCTGAAGATTTAGGAGCAAATACCCCTGAACACATGTTAGTAAGGCAAAGGTAGCTGGTGAATGGGGAGAGCAGAAAAATAAGTACATTTTATTTCTATTGCACTCACAGAAATAGGATCACAAAGTGCTTCACATGGATCAAAACAAAATAAATTAAGTCATAAAATCATAATGATCTCAAAACAGAAATAGATTCACGGAAAAAAATAAAGGCATAAAATCAAAATTTCATAAACGGATGAAAGATTAAAATTTTGAGTTAAAAATAAGAAGATAAAAGGTTTAGTTAAAAGCAGCTTTAAATAAAAGTGTCTTCAGCTGTTTTTTAAAAGTGTCCAGACTGTCGATGCTACGTAAGGATAAAGGAAGATCATTCCAGAGTCGGGGTGCAACAGTCTGGAAGGAGGTTCTGGTGTGTGGACCTGAGGGCTCGGGTTGGAGCACAAGGCTTTAACAGTTCAGTAATATAGGGAGGAGCTTGACCATGTAGAGCCCTGAAAGTTCTAGTCAGGATTCGAAAATGAATTCTAAAGGTAATGGCCGGACAATAGAACAGGAGTGATGTGTGCTCTTCTGTTTGCTCCAGTTAGGAGCCTCGCTGCAGAGTTCTGGACCAACTGAAGGCGGTCAAGGCCTTTTTGTTAAAACGTGTGAAGAGTGTGTTACAGTAACCTAGACGGGAGGAGATAATGGCATGGAGAACCATTTCAAGTTCATGTGTTGATGCCAACCTTCGCAGTTTGGAGATAGTTCTTAAGTGATAAAAACAGTTTTGGACCAATGTTTTTCATTAATCTACAATGCATGGGTCAGTTTGGTCAAACATCCTGATTAACAAGATAGTAGGAATGAAATCAGTAGGGCATGAGGTTGCTTTCATGTGTTTCTGAATGAGGCCAATGTCCTGGAAATCTACAGGAGTAAAGACAGACCATGATTGGGAAGAAGCTGGTTGGATTGGGGGGGTAGATGGGGTGATATTACTGATTTTATTCTCAAAGAATGCTAGAATGTTATTACAGTCAGACCTTGAGCAAACCGGCATGAGTGGGGCGTGAGGTGAAACAATCTGGTTTATGGTGTCAGACAGGACTTTAGAGTTATTTCTGTTTACAGCTATCAGCTGAGCAAAGTAAGTGGACCTGGAAGTTTTCACCATCTCATTCAGAGATGTTATCAGGTCTTTAAAGTGCAGACTGTGACTTTCTAGTCTAGTTGCCTTCCAGCGTCTCTCGGCTCTGTGGCACGTCCTTCTGAGACTGTAAATGTTCTGATTAATCCAAGGGTTTTCCCTCCTGTTAGATAAAACAATATGCTTAACAGGAGCTACTTTATCCAAGATACTGCAGCATGGTTTATCCAATGACTGGATGAACACGCTTGGATCATCATCATCCTGAACTGAGCTGCTGTCAAATAATCTAGAACATCCATCCTCTGCTGACTGATTAATGATACGTCTTTTTGATTTTAGGTTGTGAGGGACAGATTCAACATTAGATTGGACATTAAAGAAAATGCTGCTGTGGTCACTCACATGAACCTCTTCAACATGTAAATGATTGATGTTTAGTCCCAAAGAGAAAACAAGATCTAGAGTGTGTCCCATTTAGTGTGTGGGGCCTGAAACGTGCTGCTCTAAGCTAAAAGACTGTAATAGACATGAACTCTACTGCTGTGTAGGATCATTAATGTGTGAGTTAAAATCACCAAGGATTAAAACTTTTTCTAGTTTGATCATCGATGACAGAAAATCTGCAGACTCAGAGAGAAAAGGGCCAGCTGGACCGGGTGGTGGGTAGATTAAAATACAGTGAATTACATTTTGTAAACCTGCTTTGATAACCTGACATTCAAAAGTAGCAAAAGGGCCATTTTTCACCAGATTACAGACATGTTTGTCTTTAACCCTCCCACTGTCTTAATGGGTGTGACCCCGCGAGGAAAGCTGATCATTGAGCAGGATTGATGGTTTATCCCTTGAGGTCCACGTGGCAGGGGTGAGGTGGTGCTCACTCCTCTCCCCTGCCACGTGGACCCAAGGGATAAACCATCCCTGCTCAATGTACAGTAAAATACAGTACATAAAGTATATACTGTTTCCAAAGTCAAGTTTTGAACCCTGCACTTTTTACCATCCAAAAACAATGCTACGCTATATTAAATTGACACCGGTTGAGCTCTAGGACCTTGCAGAAAACAACCGTTTGTGTTGAAGCCTGTTTCCCATTAGACCAGGGGTGTCGAACTCAAACTCACACGGGGCCGAAATGAAACTCTGGGACGGAGTCGAGGGCCAAACTTAATATTTTTTGAAAAAGTGACGGCAAATGTGCACGTTTTCTTTATCAACATTTATGCAACTTTGAACCTTTAAATTTGGAAACAAACTTATTTCTGCATTAACACTGAATGTGGAATAACCAAATTACACACGAGCAAGTCCGTTTTAAATAAAAGGCATCAGTGGTATTCATTACTTGTGGTATATTCAGCAATTTTAAAATCTATTCAGGATTTATGTTTTCTTGTTTATTCATTTGTCTTATTTTTTATTCTCCTTTTTTCTCCTGTAATAAGTGTCATCGCTGCTGTGACGTCTAGCTTTCCCCACTGAGGAACAATAAAGGGATTTTCTATTCTATTCATCTATCTGCAGCCTTTCCACTTCCTGTTTACTGTAGGTTAAATCTTTTCTCACGGGCCAACAACAAAATAAAAATATCATTTTATCTTAAATGAAAATGCAACATCTCACCTGTTAACTTTCATGTTTTGGAGCAGAAAAAGAGCATAAAACCAACATATTTAAAGCTCAGTTTGCTCCACTGGTTTACTGTGATGCTCACCTGTTCCAGCCAGATACCTGCATCATGGGGTTGATCTGAGCTGAGGAGCAGACTCCTGTTGTTTTGTTCATCTTCATCATCATAATGACAACATTAGATGACAACAGGTGCTCACATAGGTTTGTGCTGCTGAACATGTCTGAGCAGCTTGACCACGTTGTTGTGTGTTGGGGAGGAAACACAAAGACTGCAACCACAGAGTCGTGCTGGTTTGAGCGTGTCGCTGTTTGCTGGAGTTATATCGGCTCTGTCTGGACGTTAGTTGGAAAACTTTCTCTTTCAGTCGTGAACACATTACTGAGCGGCTAGAATCTCCGTTTCTGGGCTTCAACGTCAGAAAACAGCTGAGTGAACTCGGCGCTGAGTGAGAGGAGTGTTTAGTTTGTCCGAGACAGCGGAGCTGCACACCGGCAGCAGGCGCTGGAATAAACACAAAGGAGGGGATGCGTCGGCTCCGCGCTGACACCGCAAAGCATCATGGGAGTTGAAGTATTTGCGGTAAAATCGGCCAGCGGGCCAGTTTTAATATATTTTTGATATTTATCTCGCGGGCCACAGAAAAATGCTCCGCGGGCCGCATCTGGCCCGCGGGCCTTGTGTCTGACATATGTGCATCAGAGCATACTGTAAAGATAACCCCCACCCCCCCACCCCTGTGTCCCCCCACTTCTAAAGTGAAACTTACGTCCATGCGTGTCGTGATGCCTCTGCTGAGGTCCCGGTGCTTCCCACTGAGTGAGAATCTCTTAACTTTTTACAACATTTGGCCTAGTGATCATTTCCCACAGTTGTTACAGGATTTCCCAAATGCTGGGCATGTCTCCGCGTTTAGCGCATCTGAACTCTGTGGCTTTGCCTGTTTGGTTTGGTACACGTTTTCTTTATTCCTCCATCTTTATTTGGTGTACGCACTGACATCCCACCTCTCTGTAGCTCTTGTGCTCGGGTGATTCTGCCACTCTGCACACACTTATCCTCTCAGTGCATTATCCACAGACAACCCTAAATTCACACGTTTAGCTTAATGTGTGAAGCTCAGGTTAATACTGATCAAAAGCTACGCCTTGTTTCTGGTCATGGGTGAAAGAGTTGTACCTCTCATAGGTCTCATTCTGTTCAGGCACAAAGTCCTCTTCAACTGTATTCATCACGTCGTCTAAAGTGCGACTAGCTTCATCAGCTGAAGGCTATTATGTGTATATCAATGCATCTTCCCTCATGACATGCAAAAGGATGTGAGCTTTCTGGAAAAAATCATCCATGCCTTTGTGTCATCACGCTTAGACTACTGTAACGCTCTTTTTACTGGTCTCAGCAAAACCTCCCTCTCACGCCTTCAAGCCATCCAAAATGCAGCAGCCAGACTCCTAACCAAATCCAGCAGACGAGCTCACACCACTCCAGTTTTACAGTCCCTCCACTGGCTCCCGGTAGAATATAGAATACAGTTTAAAGTTTTAGTCCTGACCTATAGAGCTCTTAACAACCAGGCTCCAAGCTACCTATCTGAGCTTTTATCCCCACACACCACCTCTCGGAACCTTAGATCCACATCTGAAAACCTCCTGGCTGTTCCTCGAACCAGACTGAAAACTAAAGGGGACAGGGCCTTTCAGACTATTGCACCCAGACTTTGGAACAGTCTACCTTCAAATCTCCGTCTCTCTAACACTGTAGAGGTCTTTAAAAATCGTCTAAAAACTCACCTTTTCATCCAGGCGTTCCCTCCCTAAATGTTTCAAAAAGATGGCTTTGTTTGGGTTCACACCTTCACTTTGTTTATACTCATGATTTTATTTTCTACTTTATCACTGCTATTGTTTTTCTGATGTTTGTATTGGTTAGAGGTATTTGCCCTGATCTTTATCATGTTGTACAGCGCTTTGTGATTTATATCTGTGAAAGGCGCTATATAAATAAACTTTTACTTACTTACTTTCAGGTTTTCAGCATCACCACCTGCCGTTAAAGTGCTTCCGATTATCAGCAGGGTTAGCGCTCACTTGTATGGATGAGGGCAGACTTAGCGTATCCATGGCAGCACGTTGGCGTATCACTGCAGCCCTTTACTCTCTCCGGCATGGACTCCTCTCCTATTGGCTCTAGTGTCCCTCGTTCTCTGCTGCTCACGGCCTTCCTACGATCCAGCACAGTTAGCATGTTGCACCGTTGCTCGCACTACTGGACACCTTCTTTCTCAGCTCCCTCATGGCAGACCTTTTCTGCTTAGCTGCTCACGACCACTTATGGCACCACGTGTGGTTTAGCTTAATCTTCTAATTAGCAAACAAGGAAACTCAGTTTCAGACTTTTATTGATCACCACCTCCCTTCTGGTTCCCTCCAGCCAGTGCTACTCCCCTCTTGCCCCTGGCCTTCTGGGTAACTGAGTTCTTCCTGAACTATCTCATAACTTAACAATCAGGACCCAGAAAGAAAGCTTACTCTCTTGTGAGTCACTTTTATTAACAAAATCACTAAATCCGTTCTATAACTGAGAGCTTGTTTCTCACGAGGGAGCTCCAGTCTAGGACAACTCCTAAACCCAGGTCCGGCTGAGATCAACAAGGCCCGTAGCAGCATCTCTGGACCTGAACTGCACTCTCTGCTCTGCATCATGATTCTACGATACCCCCTTACCACCAGAAATCAGAACCGTGTGGACAAGCCCTCTCCTGGCCAGCACGTTTCCTGGATTCAAGCCAGTAGGGAGGTAAGCTGAGGAACTGGACCCACTGTTGGACAGTCTCTTCTGTAAAGTAAGGCCTCTGCGAGCTCGAGCCGAGCTTGTCCATGAATGGTGAAGGGTTGTACCGCACGCTGGATCACAAGCAGGGCATTTAAGGGTTAAACGTGCCAGTCGAGCTTTGCTGTGGAGAACAATTTCAAAAGAGGAACTGATGATAAAACAGGTGGAGCTCTTATTAAGGTCCTAATAGTGTAGACCACCAATATCCAATCCACCTGGAACACATAATTGGTGCTGAAACCTGTAAAGACACCTGTGACTGACAGGAACCTGACACTGTAGCGTGGCTGATGTGCTGTTGTTGGAGGATCGTGCTCTCTAGAGAGGACACGTCCTCCGTGAGTGCACTGGTCTCCTGAAGGAGATCCTTCTGGAGGTATGCTGTGATTTGGAACCCTTTGGCAAGCGACAGACAGACCGCACGAATTGGACTCCAGTTGAATTTCTATATTACAACCCCCCAGAACCTCCTCTGTTGCCCAGGTAACCAGACTGAATGACAGCTCAGAGGCTGCTCTTAGACATTTCCAAATGAAACTAAATCAAAGCAGAAGGACTTCTTTAATGAAAAAGACCACCCGTTACTCTTCCATTAATCCTATTCTATTATTTATTTATTGCTGACAGGAACCTCTCCTCTGTCCCGACCAGCAGCCGGCGTCTCAATCTCAAAGTCGATAGCCATGATTTGTTGTTTTCAGGTAGATCCCAGGAAATCCCCTCATGAGCTGAGGACGTAGCGTGACCACGAGAGGCCACCGCACGTTTCATAAGTCAGGATGTTGACCGTTCGTACAAACGTTCTAAATTTCGTTCATAGGAGGTAAATTAGGAATTCTTCTATGAAACTCTGATGAATGAGGCCCCTGGACTTTCTGGTTATCTTGAAGACATCTTAGCTTTCATCCAAGAAGCTCCTTCAGTTCTAAAGCTCGGGTTGTGAGTAGGAGGCTTAGAAGTTGTGGTCAGAAACGAACAATAAAGTGATGTCCAATCCATGTGATCGATATCGGTGATCAGCAGCAAAAATCCAGATCAGAGCATCCCTAAACCTAATGCACTTATTACCCAGAATGCTCCTGTTCCTTTACTTTTACATAAATGTTAGTCAGGATTACCAGAAGAACACGCGTAGCCCCAGAGCCACAGGTTGGAGACCTTTTAGTAGTAGGACAGTTGTTAGATCCAGATGTTTACCCCCATAAATACCAGTTAGTGACTCATATTTGTCAAAAATCCACTCAGATCTCATTTGGTCTTTTATTTAGTACAATCAATAAATAATTGGGAGACACACCAACCACTACACACATGATCTCACAGCTGCTGCTCATACAAGCAATATGACCAGATGTGCACCAGAATTTGTATGTTTACCCACTTGTTTCCATGGAAACGGCCTCTTGTTTATTGGATTTTAATCATGAATGTGTGATTGCCTTATTTTGCATTCCTATTAACCAAACGATGGGTCTTCTTGTAACATGTAATGTTCAACAGGCAACATGTTTCACTTGTTGTGTTTAACATGCTATATGTAATGTTTAACATGTAGCACGTTGTTTAACATATTACTAAAATATTTAACATGTTTAATATATAACAAGTAATGTTTTACATCTAGCATGTAACATGTTTAACTTGTTGTGTTTAACATGTTACATGTAATGTTAACATGTAGCATGTTGTTTAACATGTAAACTACAATGTCTGACATGTTGTGTTTAACATGCTCTTCATGTTTTTAAAACTTTGAAATAAACCCACACCTCAGAGGATGACAGGAAAACAGCATTAGGATGACCTTTGACCTGAAGGAAAACAACTGCTTTTTATTGTTAGCTGAACTTATAAACGCTGGTTATGTTTGACGTGTCATGAATGTTTTTGTTTGCCATGTTGAAAATGCTAAGCTAACCAGGGTTAGCTCTCAGCTGTTTTCCTGATGCATTAAAACAAATTATGTTTATAAATAATCAGCGTGTTCTTTGGGGTAATGGAATGACTACAGGATGCATCAGTAGAACATCTCTGATTTGATGTTTAGGAGAGTTAGAGCTGAAAGCTAATAAATAATAAATAAATAATGTCTTTAAATCCATGCTGTAGCTCTTTTTTAAAACACAGAGCAGTTTTGTTTACCTGTTTTCCCGCTACGTTTCGTTTGCGGCTGCAAACTTCCTCAGGCTGACGCTGATGGTGGCGTCACTTCCTTCTCCGTTTAAACGGATTAGCTTAATGACCTGACCTGTGTTGTTTACTGTGTGAAGGTCCTTGAGAGGACCCTGGTCCTGATTTGGTGCTTTATAAATAAATGGAATTGAATTGAAGTTAACTTGAAACCACAATTTTAAGCCGTGTGTTCCTTCCACTTTGTGGAGCGAACACCCACACCCAAATGACAAACCTCCAGAGAAGAGACGCTGATGCTGAGGAGACAACAGGTATTTCATGTGTAGTTTTCTGAATACTTAGTTTATTTGATCTAACGTGTGTTTAGACTGCCGTTATCAACCCAAAGTTCCCTAATCTCAGCACAAGCATCTTTAGCTTCATGTTGTATCTGTTACCAGGCCTTCCCTATTTTAGAGCATATGCCCCAAGCCAAAATGAACCATGTTTGATTTTGAAGTGGCTTTAATTCAAGCAGCAAGTTTGGAAAACTGACAGACTAATGGCAGGCGGCAAAGTTCAGAAAGTAGCTAAAGATGCTACCGTACGTTATCTTTGTCCAAGTTTCAGGATGGCAGCGGGCACAGGGATTGTAACGGTGTTTAAGCCGAGACTGCCGGCGTTCCCGTGTGTTTTCTCAGTCAAAAATTAAAAAGAGGGTTTGCGTGAAGGGATCATGTTGTCTGAATGTAAACTAACGCAGGACCGGAAGCCGCTTGCATCTTTCGCACAAAGCATGACGCCGTGAGAATAAGGTGGATGCTCTAAGCTGGTAATTAAAGTCAGAGTTGATCAAATGAATGACTTATTACCAGCGACAGCAGCAGATCAGGATTGTTTATGAGGACATCATGCCTAAACATGACCTGATTACCTGTTAAACATGAGAATGTAGACGAACCTTTAGTCTGTGATTCAACAGAAACTTGAAAGACTCAAACTGTTCAAAAGAGTCCAACATGAATCTGTTTAAAGAGCTGAGTCAGCAGGTGTTCATCCAGGAACTCAGGTGGACACTCAGTAATAAGGAGTTCATTCCTGAACTACAGCAGATGGAAGTCTCTAAAACCCACAAGACCACCTGAAGCTCAGGAGAGTGTGTGGCTCTACAGATCCCTCGTCTATCAGAAGCACGTGTGTAACTCCACCTCTGAGGTGTCTAATGGTGCACGCTAGTCTCATCTGGATCCACACTGTCCCAGATAAACCCACTCTCCTACATGCCTATTCTTCTCTCTGTTTACAAAAACCGCTAACACAACTACACTAACTCCCACGCCCCGAAAACAACATGACCTGCATATGCCTTTAAGGTTCAAATCCATCATGTCTGACAGGTATCAGGTGAAGGTGGCTTTTATTGGAGGGTCCCTTTCTGCAGCAGAGGTGATGTGGACGAGCCGTGGACAGGATGTGGACGGTGGTGGAGGTCGCTGCTACTGCGTTAGAGCCAGGAGGATGTCTTTAACCAGCATTGTGCCGATCACCATTTTCTCACAGTTCACCGTCAGCTGGGCAACTCCCTCCTCTCCGGTTGCCACGGTGACCAGCACCAAGCTGCCGCTGGTCACCGTTCTGCCAGCAAACCTGTGGGCAGGATGATCAGGAGGAGGGACAGAAGGACTGAGGTCAAAGCAGCAAGGACAGAAGTAAAGTTGAGACACAGAATAAGAGGGAGACATGTCTGTTAGCAGGACGCAGGTCCAGGAGTGGACATGATATCACACATCCTTATTCAGGTGAGTTACATGATTAGGACAGGAGCATTGATACCAACCAATCAGCACACCCATCTGGAAGTGGCTGTTTAACAGCTGAGCATGACGGGACAGCATCAAACATCAGAAACCTCTGATCCAAGATCCGGTTCTGACCAGCTGAGTGGAACACTTCAAACATGCTAGGGCAAGCCCTTTGTGTATCTTTAGGTTTACACTCCTGTACAGGTACTGTCTAGCCCAGGACTCACCTGCAGCATAGTTGGGTTCATTTGGGACAGCTTATTCAGCGCTGGATTAGATTTGCATCACACTCAGATTAGAAGTTTGTGAATGAATTTAATTTTGGAACATTTTCAGTGAATAGTGAGCATACGGACCACTTTCCACACTCGACTACTTTCTTCTACAATCTGCTCTTTAACTGTATTATTTCCTGCTATTTCAGCTGTTAACTTTATTTTCTCTCTAAGTGTTTTTCTCCCCAGAAGAAGCTACAACGATGTTCTGCTGAGCTGTGGTAGCCTCATGGAGGGGGCCATCAGCTAAAACACTGCTGCTAACCACTTAAACATTCTCCCTCTCCTGATAATAACATTTTACTCTCTTTGACATTGAATATGTTACTACTAGTTTACCTGTTTAATTATAGATTCACTAGAATAAATACAATAAAGTTTAACTCTCGCCAAATACAATATTTACTAAGAAATCACAATGTAACCATAGACACACTATATATGGCGTGTGTGTGTGTGTGTGTGTGTGTGTGTGTGTGTGCGTGCGTGCGTGTGTGCGTGCGTGCGTGCGTGCGTGCGTGCGTGCGTGTGTGTGTGTGTGTGTGTGTGTGTGTGTGTGTGTGTGTCTGCTCTGTCTTCTCGATCCCCAGTGAGTTGTGGAGGATGGCTGCTTATACTGAGCCAGGATCCTCTGGAGGTTTCTTCCTGTTAAAAGGGAGTTTTCCTCTCCACTGTCGCTGCATGTTTGGTTAGTATGAGGATTGCTGTAAAGACTCTGACACTAGTCAGTGACTCGATGCAACCTGCTGGGTTCCTTATATAGGAAACTTTTTTTCTGATTATCTTAATAAACTAAGGAATTAATGGAGCGGTTTGCAGCTGAGTGTGAAACAGCTGGGATGAGAATCAGCTCCTCTAAATCTGAGACCATGGTCTTGATTCAGAAAAGGGTAGAACGCCTTCTCTGGGTCAGGGATGAGGTCCTGCACCAAGTGGAGGAGTTTAAATATCTCGGGGTCTTGTTCACAAATGAGGGAAAACTGGAGCGTGAGATCGATAGGCGGATTGGTGCTGCATCTGCAGTGATGCGGGCGTTGTACCGGTCTGTCATGGTGAAGAGAGAGCTAAGTCAGAAGGCGAAGCTCTCGATTTACCAGTCGATCTACGTTCCCACCCTCACCTATGGTCATGAGCTTTGGGTAGTGATCGAAAGAACGAGATCACGGATACAAGCGGCTGAAATGAGTTTTCTCCGAAGAGTGGCTGGGCTCTCCCTTAGAGATAGGGTGAGACTCTCGGTCATCCGGGAGGGGCTCGGAGTAGACCCGCTGCTCCTCCACATCGAGAGGAGCCAGTTGAGGTGGCTCGGGCATCTGGTCAGGATGCCTCCTGGACGCCTCCCTGGTGAGGATTTCCAGGCACGTCCAACCGGGAGGAGACCTTAAAGAAGACCCAGGACACGCTGGAGGGACCATGTCTCTCAGCTGGCCAGGGAACGCCTTGGGATTTCCCAGGAGGAGCTGGCCCAAGTGGCTGAGGAGAGGGAAGTCTGGGCCTCTCGCCTTAAGGCTACTGCCCCTGCGACCCGACTCTAAATAAGCGGAAGAAAATGGATGGATGAACAGAGGGATGACATGTGCTCTTTTAGACTGATTGAAGACCAGACGCGCCGCTGCATTCTGGTTCTTTTGAAGAGGTCTCAGTCCAGGCTGGAGGACCACATAGAAGGCCATTGCAGTAGTCGAGGTGGGAGACGACAGTAGATTGCACCAGGAGCTGGGTGGCATATTGTGTTAGGTATGGCCTGATCTTTCATGTGTTATACAGCACGAAGCAGAATGAATGAGCAACAGAGGCAACGTTACCTTTAAAGGTCAGCTGGTCATCAATCACAACACCCAAGTTTCAAACTGCCTTTGAAGGATCCAGAGACAGGGAATCGTTTTGGATTGAGATTTTGTGCCGTATGGATGGTTTCATGGGATGACAAGTAATTCAGTTTTAGAGAAGTTGGGTTGGAGATGCTTCCCCACAGGATGGTTATTTAGCATGAGCTGTGAGCTTTGGATGAACTGGTTAAAACAGGAAGTGGTTCACTTTTAATGAAATGGTTGTTTATAAACTTTGACCAACCAGAGATAAATGTGTCTAGATGTTTACCAAGACCCTCAGCCACTCCCCTTTCTGTGATGCTTAGAAAGCGTATTTCACCTAATATATGGAGTAAGTCTGTTAAAGATTCATTTGTTAATACAGAATATGATTGTAAACAACCTGTGGATTAAAAAAATAATTTTCCGAGAGCAGACTAACATTTTTTAAGGAGAAAAAGTTTCGTCCTCTGAAGAGACTTGTGTGTTGCAGACCAGAGCCGTGGAAAGCACACAGTTAACCCTTCATGAAGCTGTGTGCTTTCTGGTTGGAGACCAGACAGTTAAGATGTGGGACACTGTTTGTCCCACCACCTGATGCAGTGCGGCGCGGACCATGGATGTTGTGTAAGTGTTTCAGGTTTACTGCAGACAAACGGAACATTAAACTAAATAAATAAAAAAAATTTATCATTCTATTGTGGAGATAAAAGTGAAATAAAATAAAAAAGATAAAAGCAAAATGCCTTTTGTTATGATTGTCTTTAGTAGAAATAAACAAGACATAATTACTGAGAAGCAGACGGCCAGGCTGGTAGCTGCTATCGTATCCTGTGACCTTAATGTAACCTCAGGAATAACTATATCAAGCTATCTTCACTGATGGTGTAGTTTATAAAAAAAAGTGCATTTGACCTCTGACATCTGCACATTACTGAGATGCAGACAACATTTAATGTCACATTTCTCTGCAGTAAACACACACTTAAATAATATCCATGTCTACACCAGACTCTTCATTTGGAATCATAGCATGTCCACGGAAGATCCCACATTTCTTGCCTCTGATTGGCTAGAACGGCTCTACTATGATTGGCTAATTCATGTAGCAGCAAACCATCCCTAAGTGCAGACTGTCCAGCGACACCACCACTTGTGTGCTGAGTGGTGTTTCTGTGGAGCACACAGACTACCTTCCACTGATCACCTCATGCTGTATTTTAGTCTGTCCCACACCTGGAACGGGTTTGCTATGACCCCTCAGTCACCAACACTACACGTAAAGCAAGGCTTCTTACGTTGGACTGAATCAGGTCAGGCTCCAACACACCTGACTTCTGATTGACAGGCTTCTGCAGAGCCTGAAGAGCTGCTGCACTGGTGGTTCAGCCACTGAATCAGGAGTGTTGGAGCAGAGAAGCCACCAAACCTGCTGGTTACCAGCCCTCCAGGACCAGGATTGGGCACCCCTGGGTTAATGAAGCCACAAAACTGAGTGTGCTGTCGTCTGAAGCAACAACAAACAAGTAACTACCAATATGGTGGCCGCGCCAGTGATGACGACACGATCACAAGCCCTTTTGTGAATGAACTGTCAGTGAAGGCCTTCGCATCACAACCCTACCTCTTCTGGTTCCCACTCCACTGTTGTCGCTTCTTGTCCTCTCCTGATCATGCGAGTGGCTTTAGGGATGTGAAACTTTCAAACCGGAGAGGGTTGATGTCACATTTCAGTTAAGTGTGAATCACACAAAAAAATCAGAATTGAGCATCAAGGTCTGCAGTGTGAACCTAGCCTAAGTGCATGCCCCCTGAGTTGCTAATGGGTTGTCTCCATTCAGCCACCTTTGTGGGTTTAGTGCCCCCTGGAGTCCAACCCACAGACTGCAACCAACCACTGTCTACTACTATCGTGACCCCGGTGCTTGAGGCTAGCAGCTCCTTCTCAAACAATCACCACTTTTAGATAAGAGTAGAGATCAGAGCATCTCACCTGCACTCATTGTCTGAGCCACAGGGGACTCTGCTGAGGTGAGCGGCCGTGGTCACTCTCTGGACGATGGCGTGCTCATTCCGATACTTAGCATCCAGAATTAGCTTCTCTGTGAGCTCATTCATACCCATCAGCTGACCTGGAACAAACCAACAACCAGTCTTTAACATAAGACGGTGCAACCAGGGGACAGAAACATGGATTCAGAGGTGTTTGTTGTCTGAAATGAAAAAAAAAAAGTTCCTAAATATTTCTGCGAGCTGTAGAAATGGAACGGCCCAACATACAGTCTCCATCCCTAACATTAACACTTAGGAACGATTTGTTAAAAAAACATAAAGAGCGCAGCTTCACTAAGAAGCTTATCAGGATAATTATGATAAAGAGAAGTCCGCGCCCCATACCCCATCTATGCTGCCATCATGTACCCTTTTGTAAAAGGACACACACTACCACCGCGGCCTGACCACCTAAACGACCCAAGGCTCCCTGATGCCGCCACGCCACGCCGTTGTTTAAAGATCGGCTTAACAGACATGTTTCAGGTTTGGCGCCGCAGTACGTCACCATTGCTGCTGAACAATCTCACGTCCGTGAGAGGACATCTGAGTGTTTATTAAAAAAGACAATGAACATTTAATGTAACTTGCTTGTTGCTAAAATGTAAGAAAACTTTATTTTTATTTCCTGTTTTTCTGCCAAACCAGCTATACTTCAGCATTAATGAACTCAATACTGCTGGAGTATTAAACAACCTGTACTTTACTGTAGGACTCACCTTGCTCCCTTTTAAACTCGTTTTCTGTGAGGAACACGGGCCTCATAAGTTCTCCAACTGGAGGTTGGATCGACACAAAGAACTTCCTGGTGGAGGTGCTGCAAAAACAGAAAACAAAAACAAAGTCTGAACTTTCTCTAATCAGAATACAAACCCTGAATATGAGATTTTGTGTCTCAAACCAAAACATCCATGTTTATTCTAACAAGGGGATCAGGGTTGTGGTCAGGGTCACAGATATGTACACGAAGCACCACAGAGGTGGGTTTTAGGGTGATGAGACCCAGTTCCACACTGTGATGCTTCTACTAATACCTGGCATGATGATAAAGACAAAAGCAACATTTTTCTTATGGGGGAGAATTAAAAAGTTAGTTTGTTTTCTCGCAATTAAGGAAATGAAGGCTACTCCTGACCACAAATAAGAGCTAATAAAAGATACAGATGCTTGTGTATTTAAATTTGGATCATTCTTTTATGTTGAGGAGTTCATTTTACAGCTTTAATAGTTGATTCCTTACTTTCGCTGTACAGATGATTCGTTAATAAAAAAGACGTTATGCATTTATAACTAAACATTAAGCAGGAAATGTTCAGACAGTTAGAATTAACATAAAAGGTACATAAGGTATTCCTGCAGTTAAATGTCACATGAAGTAATACCCAAACATGTATCTCATTATAGAGCTATAAAGGCACACTTCCAAAGATTCAAGGTAAGGTTGTTCATATTGTAGAATAAATAATAATAATAATAATACTACAACAACAATAATAATAATAATAATAATAATAATAATACATTTTATTTAAAAGCACCTTTCAAAAACACCACAAGATACAATAAAAAACAGTAAAATACCAGAATAAAGCAAATCAAACAAGTCACAAGTCATAGGCAGTTTTGAACGGATGAGTCTTGAGTCTGGATTTGAAAAGGGTGAGGTTATCAATGTTTCGGATGCCTGGGGGAGTGCGTTCCAAAGACGGGGAGCAGAGCGGCTGAAAGCTCTGCTCCCCATGGCGGTGAGGCGTGCAGAAGGGGCAAGGTGGAGGGAAGGAGAGTGAGGCTAGAACAATGTTGTTAATCTTACATAATGAGAGAACACGGGGTAACTTGGTAATGGAGAGTTTGCGGGAAACAGAAACTGAGATGAGGAAGTGGTCAGTGAAGGGGACACACCAGAACAGCAAACTAAAGCCAGAGTGTGACCTTTAATGTGAGTGGGAACATTAACCTACTGATAAAAACCAAATCCATCCAACGATGAGGAGAAATCCTTGGTTAGGGGGAGAGCTGTGTTATCCATATGTATATTAAAATCACCAAGTACAATTACATTGGGAGAGAGAGTGGAGAGATGAGTGAGAAGAACACTAAATTCATTTTAAAAGTCAGGGTTGAACATGGGGGGGATGGTAAATTGAGGCAATTACAGAATACTTCACTACTTGCAACAAATAAAACAAATGTTTCATTGTTAGTATTTTCATACACTTTTATATTAAGGTGGAAAAAATGCTAGCAAGTGGCAGCAAGTCTTAGTCATCTTCAGGAGGAGCTAGGTGTCACGAACAGAACTCCGAAGACCCGTAATGATGCCAAACACAGTAAAAATAGATTTTAAAAAGTCTTTATTTGCAGCAGAGTTACCAGGAGGGCGAGGCTGGAGACAGAGTCGGGGACAGGCGAAGAGTAAATGAGGAGGCAGAGGAGGGTGAAGGATGGGAGTCATGACAGACCCCCCCCCCCCCCCCCCCCCCCCCCCCCCCCCAAGGGCGGAAACCAGACGCCCACAGGAAACCAGAGCAGAGCGGGAGGAGGGGGACCAGGAGGGAGGGCCAGAAGAGTCTGGGGGGCCGGTGACGGGGGACCAGGAGCCGGGGCTGCTGGAGTCTGGGGGGCCGGTGACGGGGGACCAGGAGCCGGGACTGCGGGAGTCTGGGGGGGTGGGGGTGGGGGGTGGTGACGGGGAACCAGGAGCCGGGACTGCGGGAGTCTGGGGGGCCGGCGACGGGGGACCAGGATCCGGGACTGCGGAAGTCGGGGGATAGAGGACACTGGAGGACGAGGACTAAGAGGTGACTCTGGACTAAGATACTGAGGGGACACTAGAGGACAAGGACTAAGAGGGGACTCTGGACTAAGACTAAGACTAAGAGGGGACACTGGACTACGGAGGGGACTCTGGAGACTGAGGGGACGGAGAGGACACTGGACTACGACTAAGAGGGGACACTAGAGGAGGACGACTAAGAGGGGACACTAGAAGAGGACGACTAAGAGGGGACACTAGAAGAGGACGACTAAGAGGGGACACTAGAAGAGGACGACTAAGAGGGGACACTAGAGGAGGACTACTAAGAGGGGACACTGGACTAAGGCTAAGACACTGAGGGGACCCCGGGCTAAGAGGGGATACTAGAGACTGAGGGGACAGAGGGAACTCTGGGACTGGTGGGGACATAGACTCTGGGACTGGTGGGGATGTAGACTCTTGTGGGGACACTTGAGACTGGGACACTTAAGACTGGAACACTTGAGACTGGAACACTTGAGGGGACTCTTGAGACTGGAAAACTTGAGGGGACTCTTGAGACTGGGACTCTTGTGACTGGATCACTTGAGACTGGAACACTTGAGGGGACGTCAACTCCGAGACTTGAGACGTGGACGTCGACTCCGAGACTTGAGACGTGGACGTCGACTCCGAGACTTGAGACGTGGACATCGACTCCGAGACTTGAGACGTGGACATCGACTCCGAGACTTGAGACGTGGACATCGACTCCGAGACTTGAGACGTGGACAACGAATCCGAGACTTGAGACGTGGACGTCGACTCCGGAACAGGAAGGACAGGAGCCTCTTGGACGGGCTCGACCGAAGCCTGTGCGTCCTCTTGGACCACCGCCGAAGCAGGATGCGATGCGTCCTCTTGGACCACCGCCGAAGCAGGATGCGATGCGTCCTCTTGGACCACCGCCAAAGCAGGATGCGATACTTCCTCTTGGACCACCGCCAAAGCAGGATGCGATACTTCCTCTTGGACCACCGCCAAAGCAGGATGCGATGCGTCCTCTTGGACCACCGCCGAAGCAGGATGCGATGCGTCCTTCTGGACCACCGCCGAAGCAGGATGCGATGCGCCCTCCTGGACCACCGCCGAAGCAGGATGCGATGCGTCCTCCTGGACCACCGCCAAAGCAGGATGCGATGCGTCCTCCTGGACAACCGCCGAAGCAGGATGCGATGCGTCCTCCTGGACAACCGCCGAAGCAGGATGCGATGCGTCTTCCGGGGCCGCCGCCGAAGCAGGATGCGATGTGTCCTCCGGGGCCGCCGCCGAAGCAGGATGCGATGCGTCCTCCGGGGCCGCCGCCGAAGCAGGATGCGATGCGTCCTCCGGGGCCGCCGCCGAAGCAGGATGCGATGCGTCCTCCGGGGCCGCCGCCGAAGCAGGATGCGATGCGTACTCCGGGACCGCCGCCGAAGCAGGATGCGATGCGTACTCCGGGACCGCCGCTGAAGCAGGATGTGATGCGTACTCTGGGACCACCGCCAGAGCAGGACGCGATGCGTACTCCGGGACCACCGCCAGAGCAGGACGCGATGCGTCCTCCAGGACCACCGCCAGAGCAGGATGCGAAGCGTCCTCCGGGACCACCGCCAGAGCAGGATGCGATGCGTTCTACGGAACCACCGCCGAAGCAGGATGCGATGCGTCCTCCGGGACCACCGCCGAAGCAGGATGCGATGCGACCTCCGGGACCACCGCTGAAGCAGGATGTGATGCGTTGGAGGGTTCTGGGGAAGGTGACCACCTCTCACAGCAGGTCAGACCCTCTGCGGTGACATCCTTAAGTGCAGACCCATATACCCTCCGGACATAAAGGTAGTAATTACGAAGGGCTGGAACTGCTATCAATTCTGGATGGGTGGAGAAGATGACATTCAACCTTTCAGCCGCCCGCAGACGTAAGTGGGGGTAGGTCGGCTTGGCAAAGACCTCCTACACAGCTTCCTCGACCATCTGCATCATCGTCTGAACAATCTCCTCCGTTGGGACCGGTCCAGAAGCAGAACATGAGGTGTCGTCCGAGGAACCTGCCGATACCAGCACGGGAGAAGGATCAACCCTCTTATCAGCTCTAGAAAACCTCCGGGACCGCTGCCGTCGTGACCTGACAGGAGGGGTTTGAGGCTGGAGCGGCGCAACAACAGGAGAGGTGGAACCTCTGTGGGGCAATGACCTGATTGTCAGACCTGTTCCCCAGAGCGGTGACTCCTGTTCCCGTTCAAGCTCCATAAACTCAAGGAGTGTGAGATCTTCCATGACAGGTCAGAGAGAGAAAAAAAATACTCCCAAGTGCTGTGTCGGCGTCGGGTCAGACTTTTGGCCAGATTATTCTATCACAAACAGAACTCAGAAGACCCGTAATGAAGCCAAACACAGTAAAAATAGATAAAAAAAGTCTTTATTTGCAGCAGAGTTACCATGAGGGCGAGGCTGGAGACAGAGTTGGGGACAGGTGAAGGTCGAAATGGCAGGCAGCGTGCAAGGCAGGGGTCAGGAGAAAAACAAGGTCCGTAGGCAGAAAACAGGCAGGGAGAATGGCTGGAAGATTTACTAGCAATAACGTTCAATAATCTGGCAGTGAATGACTGGATGGCTGGTTCTTTTGTAGCAGGGGAAACAGGTGTGAGTAATGAGCTGAGGAGTCAGGAGCAGGTGAAGTGGATGAAGGCTGATTACAGGAACAGGTGAGATGAATGAAGTTGATTGTGATGCTGACTGAGGTTGCTAGGGAAAACAGGGCTGGGCTGGAGCTTGGTGAGGGGACCAGTTGAGCTGAATGAAGAGTAAATGAGGAGGCAGAGGAGGGTGAAGGATGGGAGTCATGACATAGGAGGATCAGTAAGGAAGTTTCTTTTCTCAGCAGATGCCACTCAAGAAGAATCCAAGCAGACGTCAGAGCAGTGTTGGGCCAAGCTGATTAAAGCCCAACACAGGAAAGGTTGAGAACAGAATGGCTGGAGTGGATGGTAGTTTTTCCGATTGGAAATGGGAGAACTACACCGAGGCGCTGGAAGCTGTTTAAAGCCACAGACCGGGACACTGAGGCAGGCTTAGACTCAGTCACATGTGGAGCCTGTGGAAAGTATTTCGTTTTGTCTTTAGCCACGCAGACCGTTTACTGTAGCACAAAAATACTTCTTTATTAAATCACACTTGATCGTTAGTTTAACCCCGCCTGCTGACATGAGAGTGAAACTCTCCTGAAATTGCAGACCCATACCGAAACACACATAATAACTCACTTTGCCTGTGCAGAACCTTGCAGCTTTTGGGGACTTTGGTATGTACAGACCTATAGCAGTTAGAGTGTTGGGCTAGTGTGCAGGTCCACAGCCTGATCTCAGCAGTAACTTTAGTAGCTGCATTTACTAGTCGGATGTTTTCAATCCTTTAATGGGAAACTGTTTAAAATACGAGGACTAATATGGATTTTCTACTTTGTTTATTTAGCCATTGTGAGTCCATGTGAGGTGAGCAGAGTAAATCAACAAAAATGCTGCTTTGAAACGACCAAACTCAAAGATGTTTAGAGACACAAATTATTTAGCAGAAAATATTCAATAACACTCAAATATAAAAACATGAAATCTGCTTTAGCTGGCTAAATAAATTACTGCCAACACTACCGGGATTCAAATCCACGTCAGCACATGGCAAAGCGAGTTACCCAGCAATGTCAACCTCTGGACCACCATAGCCAATACAGTAACTGACTCACCTAAGACACTCTTGTAAGCACCTTTTTTCAGATCAGGCATGAGCAGAGATTCATTGAAAGTAACAGTTTTATTATTGGGTATAAATTCACGCTGACAAAAATAACTCATATGTAAGATAAATGACATCTCAATAGTTCCAACGGTAACATTTGATCATATACTGTGCATACCTTTTGCTCTCAAAGGTTTAAAATAGTATGATATGGAACCTTTAAAACACAGACTTCAGGAAGAGTCTACCGCTTGTACCTTAAAATACTGACTTCAGGAAGGTTCTGCCTTAAAAGGAACTCCACCTATAATAAGCCACAACTTTTCTGTTGTACCAAACTATGTCGTTAGAAAAACCCAAAATATTGCTGTTTATTCATAAATCTATAATATTTAGTACATTTTTGGACATATGTAGGACGCCGTGTTTTCCGCACGCAATGCACTCTGGGGGTGATGACGTACAGTCGTTGTGCTTGGAAGAATAGCTATTGACGCTAGTGTTTGTTTACGTGCTCACCGTATTAATAATGAAGTAAAATGCCGCATTGTGCTGCTTTTGGGTGTAATTTCCAGTAAGAGGGCAACATGGGGAGTGATCTGAGTTTACACAGCTTTCCCACTGGCAAGAAGAGGAGAAAGCAGTGGGAAGATGTCTGTGGACAGACACAACTTCCCATAGATCCGCGGCTGTGTTCCTAACATTTTTCGTCTGATACGTTTGAGGCTTATGGTGGACGACGATAACTTAAAGAGCTCGCCAGAGCAGCTGGATATAAGAGAAGGCAGAAACAAAATGTTTTACCTAACATTTACCCACACAAGGAGCCTAAACGCCCTCGGAGGGACAAGAGTCGCTGGATGCTCTCCTGAGCCGACAACCCGCTCCTGCAGCTGCTGCTTCTGTCATGTTCAGCGAGCCATCGGACACGTCACTCGTCACGGAAGAAGCTGAACATTCACCTCCCCGTCAGTAAAACAAGCTGTAAGTGTAGCAATACAGTGTTCCCCACATATCTGCAGAAATTATTAGTCGTTTCACTGAATATCCTAATCATCTATGAAGCACACGACAGCTCTGGATGCTAAAATTCTCCAAAATTATTCACAATTGAATAAGTTTGATCACACAATAGCTTACCGTTAACTTCTGCTGACACAAATTTGAGCACTCTCCCTCTCTGTTACCATGGAGACACATTTGCAGCACATGCACCACCGGTTTTGTCCAGCTCTCGCTTCATCCCGCCCTTCTTGCTCTTCATTTTGATGCTGGTTTTGTGAAACATGGTCAGTGATGTCATCATTAATGTTTCACTCTGGTTCAAAGTGAAAAGGCTGAACAGATGACATGTTGATGTCATTGAACAGATACTAAAGGGTCCCAAAGCCGGCCGGTGCAACCAAGGTACAACCATATGATGCCACTACCCAGAGTGCATTGCGACGCTAACAACAATGGCGACCTACGAGTTAAACCATTTTTACAAAAATGAAGACATTAAGGTTTTTTACACCACTTTCATATTACTGATACTAACATTTATCTTTTGAGAACCACAAAGTTTTGTAACCTGGGTTCCTTTTAAAGTGACACATTTTTACTGTTGATCACTGGAAATATCCATCAAAATGTTGAAAATATTGGCGCGCTTGTAACATCTACCCATTAAAATCAGTTATAAAATACATGGGTGTGGATTAATGGGAGTGATGCCACCAACACCGGTGACTCTGATGATAACTAGAGACATAAGCCGAAACATGTCAGGTAAAAATTTATTTTTACCAAACTGTGGAAATAACGAACAAAGAAAATGATTACAGAGATAAACTAAAAACCAGCGTGCTAAAGAGTCACATGAGTGTGGGTCTAAGTCATGGCGACACCACTTTCCTACTACATGAGCCCATGAGGACAAAACACATTTACTGATTTGTAAAAAGTAGTTATAAAACCTTCGTCATCCATAAACATTGTTGTTTGACACATTTACCTCTTCACTCATTGCCAGTGATGAAAGGGAGTTTGATCTTCTTGTCATTTTTCACACTTTGCTGGAGGTTGAACGATCTGAAGTACTCGTTTGAAAATTGTGCTTCCAGGGATTTATGACCCTACAGGCCATCTGTTGGTAAGGTCTTACTCGAACATAAAAATACTGCTTGCTTGCAATGATTTAGGTATCGCCAGGGAAAATGCACATCGTCACTTTAAAACACAGACTCACCACAGTTGGAGGTTTGCTGCTTGGGTCGAGTCACAGAAATCAATTCCCATAACCGCTGAGGCCGTGTCACCCGCTGGCAGCAATTCTGTCAGAGCAGCAATAACAACACAAAAAATAAAAGAGAAATAAAAGCTTCTGACCTATAGTAACCTCTGTGCTAGAGCTCAGAAAGAAGATCTGGACTGTAGAGAGACATGAAAACCACCCGGAGAGACAGTGATGGGAATAAAACTACATTGGTGGATGATCTTGTCTAACATGAGAAGGGACATTATCCTGGTTTCTTTATAGTTCCTCTCCCATTAGGCCAAGCAATTATCAGGTGGTGGTCGTGCAACAGCAGATCCACAAACATACTGCAACCTTCAGAAACAGTCAAAAAGCAGAGAAAAGAAACCACTTCTCACCAATCTCTGGGAACTCCTTCACCCTCATCCCTGACTGCAGCTTCACATCCTTCATGTGCAGGTTTTTGGTTTCAGAGGTGGAGTTGTTGGTGAACTGCAGCTGAACTGCCACCATGTTTGCGTCGGGGCTGAAGGGCTGGCGGCCAAAGCAGTACTCCACTGACAGACCCTCCCCTGTGATGCGGTGCAGCAGCTCGTAGCTTTTCAGAGTGCCGGAGGGAGTGATGGTCTGAAAAATCGTATCTCCTGATGTTAAATCAGTTGATGGTTAAAGGGCGAAGATGCTAACAGTGAAATGTGTGAAGTTCTCACAGATGGTGCGAGGACAGAGTCTGACAAGGACAGTCCCTCCAGGTCTGTCACCAGGCTGTTTGAAAGTAAGGTGCTGATGGGTGTGACTTGAGGGGAGGTAGCAGGTTCAACTGGAAAACAAATCCAAGTTTACTTTGGTTCATTTATTAATGTGGTTCATTATTGAAATACAGTTCATTTGTTTGAGACAAGCCCTGTTCAGCAGCCTATGTCCCTGTCCAGCTGTTTTAGGTCTCTGTCCAGTACTTGTAAGTCCTCATCTAGCTGTTTTACGTTGCAGTCTAGAAGTTTTACATCCCTGTCCAGCTGTTTTGGGTACATGTCCAACTCTTTTACGTATCTGTCCAGTAGTTTTCGGTCTCTGCCCAGTACGTGTAAGTCCCCATGTAGCTGTTTTAGGTCTCTTGTCCAGCTGTTTTAGGTCTCTGTCCAGCTGTTTTAGGTCCCTGTCCAGCTGTTTTAAGTCTCTGTCCAGCTGTTTTAGGTCCCTGTCCAGCTGTTTTAGGTCCCTGTCCAGCTGTTTTAAGTCTCTGTCCAGCTGTTTTAGGTCCCTGCCCAGCTGTTTCTGGCCTCGGTTCAGTTGTTTTAGGTCTCTATCCAGCTGTTTTAGTTCTCTGTCCAGCTGTTGCATGTCTCTGTCCAGGTGTTTTAGGTCTCTGTCCAGGTGTTTTAGGTCTCTGTCCAGCTGTTGTATGTCTCTGTCCAGGTGTTTTAGGTCTCTGTCCAGCGGTTTTACGTCCCTGTCCAGATGTTTTAGGTCTCTGTCCAGCTGTTTTAGGTCCCTGCCCAGCTGTTTTCGGCCTCGGTTCAGCTGTTTTAGGTCTCTGTCCAGCGGTTTTACGTCCCTGTCCAGATGTTTTAGGTCTCTGTCTAGCTGTTTTAGGTCCCTGCCCAGCTGTTTTTGGCCTCGGTTCAGATGTTTTAGGTCTCTGTCCAGCTGTTTTAGGTCCCTGCCCAGCTGTTTTTGGCCTCGGTTCAGATGTTTTAGGTCTCTGTCTAGTACGTTTAAGTCCTCATCTAGCTGTCTTAGGTTGCAGTCTAGAAGTTTTACATCCCTGTCCAGCTGCTTTGGGTACACGTCCAACTCTTTTACGCATCTGTCCAGTAGTTTTCGGTCTCTGCCCAGTATGTGTAAGTCCCCATCTAGCTGTTTTAGGTCTCTTGTCCAGCTGCTTTAGGTCTCTGTCCAGCTGTTTTAGGTCTCTGTCCAGCAGTTTTAGGTTCCTGTCCAGCAGTTTTAGGTCTCTGTCCAGCTGTTTTCGGCCTCGGTTCAGCTGTTTTAGGTCCCTGTCCAGCTGTTTTAGGTCTCTGTCCAGCTGTTTTAGGTCCCTGCCCAGCTGTTTTCGGCCTCGGTTCAGCTGTTTTAGGTCCCTGTCCAGCTGTTTTAAGTCTGTCCAGTACGTTTAAGTCCCCATCTAGCTGTCTTAGGTTGCAGTCTAGAAGTTTTAGGTATCCATCTAACTGTTTTAATTCCCCATCCAGCTTTTTTAGTTCCCCGTCCAACTCTTTTACATATCCGTCCAGCTGTCCTAGGTCTCTATCAAGCTGTTTTAGATCACTGTCCAGTACATTTAGGCCCCCATCCAACAATTTTATTTCCCTGCCCAGCTTTTTTAGGGACCTGTCCAGTACTTTTAGGTCCCCATTGAGCTACTTTAGTTCCCCATCCAGGTGTGTGGGTCCCCGTCCAGCTGTTTTACGTGTTTGTCCAGCTGTTTTATGTCTGCATTTTAAAATAACAGGTGGAAAGACTCACAGTCATCAAGGTCAAGCAGAGACATTTCCTTCTTCTCTTTCTTGACAGGTTTAGGAGGAGTTCTAGATACAGGTGCCTATAGAAGACCCAGAAAAAACAACCTGAAAATCTGTCAGCTTTCAAACATCTGGATTTTTCTTGTGGTCAGTGGAAGGTCCTAGTCTGTGTTGGACCTTAGACATCTGTAGGTGTTTTACTTTGGGCAGGGCAGTGCCATGTTGCTTGTGAACAGGTCATCAGTACCTTCTTTTTGACTTCTGCTTCAGACTCAGAGTCTTCAGACGTGGACTGGCTGCTTTCAGAATCACTCTCCTCATCATCTGACACCGTCTCTGAGTCTTTCTCCTGCTGTTTGATCTTTTTCTCCAGCTTCCTGTTTTCTTCTTCGCTGCTCTGTTCACTGGATCAACAAACACAAACACAGGTCTAAATCCCAGTTGTGTGTGTAACGTGACGAAAGTGGTTACGATTAATAAATGATCAATAAGATCATCATCATCTTATTTCTATAGCACTTTACATCATCCAAGTGCTGCACACATACAAAAGATTCAAAACAACGCACGGCCAACAATAAAATAAACATAAAAAAATTCAGGAAACAAAAACTAAGAATGTGGGTAAAAAATAAACAAGATTAAATAAGTAAAATATGACTGGACTAAAATTTGCTGAGTTGTCTAAACATATAGCTAACTCGTGTGCTAAGGGAACGCCCGTACAAAAGTGAGTCTTCAACACCGGCACCGAAGGTGCTGGTCTGACCCTGAATGGAAGGTCATGCCACAGCTTTAGGGCCAAGATGTGATAAGATGTGATCGTCCACATAAATATGAATGATCAAATATCATTGATCTAAGATGAAACCAGGTCCTTTTGGTGGTCCAGGAAAATCACACCTTCATAATAATTTGAGACACCGAGGCAAATAAATTGTTTATAAAAATCTGTTTAATACTATATCTCTAAACTAATGGTGACAGAATAAATATGATGAATGATGGTTGAAACAAGATAACTGAGACCATGAATGAGATGATGGGATGTAAGCTTAGATGTTATGTAGCAGAACCTTATCATATAAAACTGGGATGTCTGCATTGTAAATCAGTCTGGCTGTGGTTTAACAAACTATCATCACTAAAACCGTCCCACGCCAGCTGTGTAGAACCTAAGATCCCTCGTGGTGAAGGTCCCGGTGATCCAGGGGTCGGAGAAGTCGGTACAGACAGGTCCACCTGGAATAGAGAGTTGGTCTGGGATACCCTCAGGGTGATTGCTGGCGGTCAGATGAAGTTTGCATCTGATGCAGTTTTAGAAAGAAGGTTTGACCTTGAGGACGGTTCCTTATTTTACTGGCCCAGTCGGCCCACCTGGACAGCTCGCTACAACTCCCTTACAGGAAGTGTCAACTCTTTTAAACAACTACTGTTAATCAATGTGGACCAATCAGAGCTTAACAAATGTAACGTGGGCATTACCAAAGTCCTCAAACACCACTCCTCTCTCAAACTCTTACAGGTTATTTCGCCTAATGTGGAGTAAATCTTATTAAACTTTAATGTGAAGTTAACATATTAAGCATCCATAATCATATTATTAATGTGTGAATATACTGATAAATAAATCATTATTAAATTCAACAAATAGACTAATCTGGTGTAAAGAAGATCTGAGATGAATCCTTATAGGAATGAACATTTGTGTTAACTCAGTAATCATTTCTGTAGAGCATTATTAAAACACTTTAGATTTAAAACATCTAGGCTCTGCAGAATATGGTTGTAACAACTTGTACAGTTAGAAAGTGATGTTATGAGCCTGAATAAGACAACTTCATTTAAGGATTTAGATAGAGTCTTGTGATGTGGATAATGCACACGTTAAGAAATATTCATATATAATGGACCTCCTGCTGTCAGGGTGGCACGTTCCTGTGTAGTAAAGAAAGTGAACCCAGGCCTTGGCCATGCTACATGTCTTTGTGGGATGGAGAAGATGCTGATGTCAGTACAAGGACTGTGGCTTTCATCGTGGTCGTCAGAAATGATGAAACTGAATAAAATAAACAGGGAGAAGAGAGATTCTGCACCTTTCACTTTCTTTCACTGCTTTCTTTACAACTTTCTTCTTGTTCTTATTTTCCTTCTCTTCCTCAGACTCTGAGCCTTCATCACTCTCTTCACTCTCTGAACTTGACCTGCTTTGTTCGCTGTCTGAGGCGCTGTCTGAGGCGCTGGCAGAGTTGGTCTCTGCAACAGAAAAGGATGGGGTCAGAAGTCAAGACGGCCTGATTATCACAGAAAACCCTCCAACACTGAATTACTGAAGATAAGAAAACGCCCGATGACACAAAAAAGTTTTAGATGAACTAAGAGCATGTATGCAGCAAACAATGCTATTGCAGGAGCCTCACACCCTCTGACAAGCATGGAGGTGGGGTATCATGGTTTGGAGCTGAAGCTGATCTGTTGAGCGGATGTTCCTTTTGTTTCCTACCCTGGTTCACATACTAATGGCATTACTAATGATTATCAGTGTCATTTGTCTAATATTCACCACCCCTCTGAACTTGTAGAAACGTAAACGATCACTCAACAGCATCACCTACTACTTGTCCACTTGGACATGTTACACACTGGAACTAATGTGGAGATAACACAAGTTAAACCCTTTAAATCCCCATAAGTGTCCATTTAGAACGTTGCAGGGCTGTTTTAGAGACAGCTGGGTTTCCAAGGGTTGTTCTTCAAAGCTAGAACATTTGATTCTGGGTTAGGGTTTGGGAAGCAATGTGGAGCCGGGTCAAACTGACCCGTGGTCCAGCTTCTCAAGACATCTTCTGACAGAACCCTTCACTGTGGAGTTAAAGTCGAGTTATCTGGTAAAGGGCTCCAGCGTTCTGTAATTCCAATATAAAATCACTATATTTGGAAGATCTCTGTATCGCCACGTTCACCTGTTTGTGTGAGTGCGTGCATGAGAGGTGCCCATGCTTAAAAGATACCCCCTACTGCTAGTTCTGGGCCTTTTCACCCTGAGGGCTGTCTGCATGTGTTGATGCTGATTATCTGCAATAAAGGCCGACTCTGTTCTTAAAATCATCTAAAACCTTCTACACCATGAGAGGGGGGTGCTTTTGCTGAATGGCTGTTAAACAAAAACAGACTTTTCACTGTTTTGACTCATTAGGGTTGATGCTGCTGCAAGTTACCACTATCAGCTGACTCAGTTGGCCCAGATTCACCCTCTGAGTCAGAGTAGAAGGGTTTCTCCACTTTCTTCTCCTTCCTCTTTTCACGGCTGCTGCACTTGGTCCATTCAGGCACCTGTGAAAGGAAGCGGAGTTCCAGATGTCATCTGTCAGCTCTGCATCCGCGAGTCTCCCATCAGCAAGCGGATTACAGCAGCATGGCCATGAATGCTTCTGCCTGGGCATGATGCAGCCAAAGGAAGCCATCCACTACTGCAGCAGGTATGCTTTTTTTAGATTTCCCAATTGGTGGACAAGAAGCAGTTCAGATGCTAGTGGTTGCATGGAGCCAACAGGAGCACTGAGCACCAGGTATGACCTTCATGACCATTTGCAGAAATGGTTTTCTTTAAACACAGGGAGCCGCTCCATTAAGAGAAGTGATGTTGATGAGCAGGGCTGGATATCCTCCCACACTTCACCCAGCATGTGACCAGATTCATTAAGCAGAACTAGCTGGCTCTACCACAAACTCACACAGCTGCTAGTGCATCCTGACATGTGTGAGGAATCCGTCTTCTGCTAAAAGAATCACTTCTTTAATGGTAACGACACAGGAAGAGGTTGTCGTTGTTTCAGGAGGCTTTTGACTCAGCTAAGCACAAAACAGCAACTACATAAGGCAGGGTGTTAGGAAAGCACTCAGGAGCTTTAGCGGCTATGTGGGCTGAGGGGTCGAGGACATGTGGCGATTCGCAGCTAACTGACTCACGCTTGTTAACGTTGTGACTCGTTCAAGCAGCGTAAAAACCTGGTAGACGTTGGACAGAAAAAAGAGTGGGAGGCAGAAGGGGGAAAAGGAAGCAGATGGTTTTTTTTTTTTTAGAAAAGTCCAGAAAGCAAGACAAACAGAGGAAGTATAGGAGCTACGGATCAGTGTGTGTGAACAGTACGGATAAGGAGGTAAAAGTAAAACCCCAGATTAGATCACAAGTATGCCTAACAACTATCAACCATGTTTAACCACCCCGTCCTGGAGGGGCCACCTGATAGGACAGTGGGAGGGCTAAAAAAAGAGTACAGACGTCTTCTGAGCTGCTTACCAGATAAAGATCTTAGCTAATCTGTGCCTAAAAGGTCTTTTTGAGAAGATGATTCTAAGTTACAGTATGTCAAGATCAAGTCTCACCACATCAGACAGAGAGACAGAAATCTGAGACACAAGTGAAGAAAGAAAACAGCACTGCACTCGTCTGAAATAACCTCTCTCCAGTCTCCCAGTAGGCCGATTCGCCCCTCTCCAGTGTTTAGCACCTCCTCTGTCTGTGGAGGTCGTCCATGTGTAGAGAGAGAGGAGCCTGTCAGAATGGAGCTTCAGTACATACCCCCATCCACCTTCATCTACCCCCATCCAGCCTATTCTACCCCCATCTACCCTAATCTACCCCCATCCACCTTCATCTACCTCCATCCAGCCTAATCTACCCCCATCCACCTTCATCATCCCCATCCACCTTCATCTACCCCCATCCAGCCTAATCTACCCCCATCCACCTTCATCATCCCCATCCACCTTCATCTACCCCCATCCAGCCTAATCTACCCCCCATCCACCTTCATCTACCCCCATCCAGCCTAATCTACCCCCCCATCCACCTTCATCTACGCCCATCCAGCCTAATCTACCCCCATCCACCTTCATCATCCCCATCCACCTTCATCTACCCCCATCCAGCCTAATCTACCCCCATCCACCTTCATCATCCCCATCCACCTTCATCTACCCCCATCCAGCCTAATCTACCCCCCATCCACCTTCATCTACCCCCATCCAGCCTAATCTACCCCCCCATCCACCTTCATCTACCCCCATCCAGCCTAATCTACCCCCCCATCCACCTTCATCTACGCCCATCCAGCCTAATCTACCCCCATCCACCTTCATCATCCCCATCCACCTTCATCCACCCCCATCCAACCTAATCTACCCCATCCACCTTCATCTACGCCCATCCAGCCTAATCTACCCCCATCCACCTTCATCTATGCCCATCCAGCCTAATCTACCCCCATCCACCTTCATCATCCCCATCCACCTTCATCCACCCCCATCCAACCTAATCTACCCCCATCCACCTTCATCTACGCCCATCCAGCCTGATCTACCCCCATCCACCTTCATCATCCCCACCCACCTTCATCTACCTCATCCAGCCTAATCTACCCCCATCCACCTTCATCTACCCCCATCCACAATAATCTACCCCCATCTACCCAATCCAGCCTATTCTACCTTCATCCAACCTAATCTGCCCCATCCACCCAAATCCATTTATTTTCTGCTGTCAATACAAATTTAAGAAATTTGGGGTTTGTTTTTGACCTATCAATGTCTCTTGAAGACCACTCAAAGACATTGGTCCAAAACTGTTTTTATCACTTATGAAATATCTCCAAACTGAGAAGGTTGGTGTCAAAACGTGAACTTGAAATGGTTCTCCATGCCGTTATCTCCTCCCGTCTAGATTACTGTAACACACTCTTCACATGTTTTAACGAAAAAGCCCTTGACCGCATTCAGTTGGTCCAGAACTCTGCAGCGAGGCTCCTAACTGGAGCAAACAGAAGAGCACACATCACTCCTGTTCTAATGTCTCTGCACTGGTTACCCGTTAACTTTAGAGTTCATTCTAGAATCCTGACCTATATATCCTATATTACTGAACTGTTAAAGCCTTATGCTCCAACCCGAGCCCTCAGGTCCACCCACCAGAATCTTCTAGAAGTTCCAAAGACCAGATATAAAAGTCGAGCTGATCGCTCCTTCCAGACTGTTGCACCCCGACTTTGGAATGATCTTCCTTTATCCTTACGTAGCATTGACAGTCTGGACACTTTTAAAAAACAGCTGAAGACACTTTTATTTAAAGCTGCTTTTAACTAAACCTTTTATTTTCTTATTTGTAACTCAAAATTTTAATCTTTCATCTGTTTATGAAATTTTATAATTTTATGACTTTATTTTTTCTGATGTTAACCTGTTTCTGTTTTGAGATCATTATGATTTTCTGACTTTGTTTTATTTTGTTTTGATCTATGTGAAGCACTTTGTGATTCTATGTCTGTGATGAGTGCTATAGAAATAAAATTTACTTCTTACTAATCTAGCCCCATCCACATTAGTCTAACCCCATCTGCCCTCATCTACCCACACACCCTATTCTACCCCAATCCACCTTACTCTCCCCCCATCTACCGTACACATCTTGCCCATCCATCCTTATCTACTCCCGTCCACCCTCATCTTCCCATCCACCCAACTCTTTCCCGTCTACCCTAATCTACCCCATCCACCGTACTTTCCATCTATCCACCATAGTCATCTACCCCCATCCACCCTACTCATCTACCCCATGCCTCCTAATCTAACCTCGTCCACATTCATCTCCCCATTCACCATACTCAACCCCTCCAATCAACTCTAATCTACTGGCATCCACCCTACTCTATCCATCTACCCTACTTTACCCCATCTACCCTAATCTACCCCATCCACCCTACTCCACCCCCATCTGCCCTAATCTACTCCCATTCACCCCATGCACCCTGATCTACCCCACCCACCTTACTATACCTCTGTCCACCCTAATCTACCTTATCCACCCCAATCTATTCAGTTCAATTAAATTCAATTCAATTCAAGTTTATTTCTACAGCACCAAATCAGGACCAAGGACCTTCACATAGTAAACATTCCAATACAGGTCAAAACAATCAGTAAAAAGTTTCCTATATAAGGAACCCAGCAGAGGTTGCATCGAGTCACTGACTGGTATCAGTGTCGTGTGTAAATGTCTACCCCCCTTTTTCCTAATCTACCCCATCCACCCTACTCTATCCCATCTACCCAACTCTACCCCAATTTACCCTAATCTTCCCCTTCCACCCAACTTCACCCCATCTATCCTAATCTACACCATCCACCCTGGTCTACCTTCATCTACCCCAGGTGCGGGGAACCCTGGTCCTCGAGGGCCGGTATCCTGCATGTCTTTGCTCCAACACTTCTGATTCAGTGGTTGATTCACCTGTTCAGCAGCTCGTCAGGCTCTGCAGAAGCATGTTAATCACCTGCTGATTGAAATTAGGCATGTTGAAGCAGGGTTGAAACTAAAATAAGCTGGATAGCGGCCTTCAATGGACCAGGGTTCCCCACCCCTGGTCTACCCCATCCACCATAATCCACCATATCCACTCTACTCTACCCCATCCACCCTACTCTACTGCCATCTACCTCATCTATCCTGATCTACCCCATCCACCCTACTGCACCTCAATCCACATCCTCATCCTCATCTCCCCATCGACCCTGCTTTACCCCATCCACCCAAATCTACCCCATCCACGCTCATCTACCCGCATCCACCCGACTCTACTCCCAGTCCACCCTAATCTACTCCCAATCTACGCTAATCTACCCCATCTACTCTACTCATTTACCCCCATCAACCATGATTTACTCCTATTCACCCTCATTTTCCTCATCAACCCTACTCTACCCCAATGCACCCTACTGTACCCCATCCACCCTACTCTACCCCAATGCACCCTCATTCCCCCCATCCACCCTGAAAAATGTGCTATGATTTATTTGCTAGTTTCACTTTCTGTAAGGAATAGGACTCTCAGAACTCAAACAGGAAAACAAGAAACAATAAATAAACTGTATTATATAGGGATTCCTAAAATAAACTGTAAAGATTTAGGAATCCCTTCATATGTGATCTTCATGTTTCATAACGTGTCACCTCATCATGAAACCTGCATCAGAAAATAAGGGGCAATGGTTTCACAGGACTTCACTAAAATCCCAAACATGGACACTTGTGACAAAAATACCTAGCATGGAGGTCACTTCCTCAGGCCGCGCTTAGTGTTTGTGTTCAGGGTACACTGCTGCACTGATGGCACAATGATGAGTTGAGATGGAGCAGAGGAGGAGGGGCTTTGGAAAGCTGTGATGTGTGAGTGGGTGGAGCTTTGTAAAGAGCCTTTAACTTGTGTTTCTATGGTAAATTTAGCAGGAAATGATGGTTAAAATTCTAGATGTTTTCGATCAGATGTCTGAATTTCTGCAAGTGCAGGCCTAGCAGCTGAAGTCTGCTCCCCTCTCCTCAAAGGTGCTATCAGCTCTAACAGCTGTAAGTGTGATGTGGGCGGGGCTAGTTGCTGCTGCCCAACAGAAGCCAGGGCATTAGGAAGGGTGAGAGGCTTTTTAAAAATAAATGTGTTTGGTTTAAGTTGTTATATTGCTTTCTTTCATCAATCAGAAACACCTCTTCTTTCCCTTCCTTGGTGGAGGAGTTTGGTGGAACCTGGAGCCCAAACAGCTGATGCTGCAGAAGCTACGCAGCGCTCAGTGAATGGATGTTGCTCAGTGACAGAACTACCTTTGTTATATTTGAGTTAGTTTCCTGTAACAAATGCCCCTCTGTGGCACTGCTCTGGGGCAGGAGCAACCTGTGCCCCATCCACCTTCTGAGATGCCTGGAGAGCACAGAGGGCCCCTGTGTCTCTGTATGTTACTGTTCCCACTGCACGCACAGACTCCTTCACCTCCACGTTGCGCACGGAGGGGTCGGGGGCAGCTTCAGGCCAGTCAGGCAGCTCCTGGTAGCCCCCAGCCTTGGCATTCAGCAGGTGGGACAAAGAACCCAACTGGAAGTGGTCTCGATCTGCAGAAACACCAACATGTCATCCAGCACAGAAACACATGACCAAGACAAGCTGCACATGGAATAAATAATAAAATTATGTAAATAGACAACATGGAATCATGGAGTAAAACCCAAAGTCCAATGATGAAACCACTGTTGAGTCAGTTTTATGAACTCAAAGAAAAAAAAATTACAGTAACAAATAAAATAAAAAATAAGAGAATGTATAAATATGATTTGTATTAACATGAAAGTGTGTAACTGTATCCACTTGTATTTATTCACAGTCATTTTCTCGTACGTCTCATACATAAAAACGTGAGTTCTCTCGGGTAAGAGCCAATGTGCGGTCCCTGGCCGGAGTCTGTAACACAACATGGCGAGCGCGTAAGAGGAGTAGGACATGAACCGAAACAGTTTGTACGTCGTCCACCCACCTAGTGGAAATAACCAATAGAGAAGTAATCCCAGGACAGTGACCGGTAAGAGATCTTTGCATTGACTTTGCGTGAATGTTTGCACGAGTATTGCCAGTAAATGGGTCACTTTCGCCACGCTGGTTGAACATCCGTCATCCGGCGGTGTACACCTAAATGTTTAAGAGCTAGAAAGAGCAATGGATGATTCGTTAACTCACTGTTTAACTGTGTATTGGTATATGCACCCATTGATCACATATTTAACCTTGTATTTAAAAATCGTTGTGTTTTGTGGTTATAAGCGCAGCTGTTTGAAGGGTAAAGAATTATTATGTATGTTTAATGTAGATTTACGTGGATTTTAATGAGGAAAAAAGGCTTAAGAAAAACACGCCTTAAAAGTGGACATGTAGGAAGTGTCTTAAGGTGGAGACCAACGATCTTGATTGATGTTTCTCCTGAATGTTTGTTTAAGGTTTTCACCTGGTGCTCCACCAGAAGTCCACACCTTGCATTAAAACTACCTTTGTTGTAAATGACACATAGGTGAATAAATGAAACGTAAAGGAGGAAGCGACTGCTGGTATTTATAAACCCCATTAAGCCCCTGGGAAAATTAGGCCCCTTTCAAGTGGGCATATCAAATAACTTGACAACCATAACCACCAATTGTACCCTGCACACAGAACACAGGTAACAGGTATCTGTCGCTACATGCTAGCTCAGTATGAGGACTGCTGTAAACACGCTGATTCTGATAACATGAGAAAGGAGATATCAACGTAAAGACAGCTAATACCCAAAACATCCCTTTTTTACAAGTCATATTTTTTTGTTGTAGGGCTTGAAACTCTATAAATCATTCTTTTTTTAATATCTTGGTTTTTATTCCACAAATAGTTTTCAGTGTCTCAAATATCCTGCAGCTGAGGTCAGCCTAATGGAGATAGCAAATAAAAACTACAAATAAAGTAAAGCTGGCTTTGGCCAAAGCAGACTTCATGTCTGGGTAATGAACCCAGTGCTGCTCTTCATCACTTATTACACTGATCTCTTTCTTGGTTTGATATTATTATTTTATCCATTTTTAAGGATCTGAACATCAAAACTGAACAAACCAATAAGAATTAGTCAGAATTTTCTGTAAAAACAGAAAAAATTAACATGAGGTGGGCTTTGCAGCTGTATTCCTGGTTGCCATGGAGATAGTCAATGGTGTCTATACCTTTAAATGGAGACTCAAGGACAGGTGCAGGTTTGAGAGCGAGGAACAGTTTCTTGGCGTACTTGCTGAGGGCTCCACTCTTCTCGGTGGGCACTATGAGCTGGCGAATGAAGCGTGCTCGATCACGAATGTCGTAGTTCTGGTCGTATTTGGCCAAGTTGAGGACATATTGTGTCAGCAGTTTGGTCTGTGGGGAGGGAGGACCGTTGATGAAAAGAGTTTAGAGGAAGTGTTATGGAAAAATTTATGTTTATTAATTCTTGATTATTGACTCAATCAACTGAATGTAAATGTATTGCTCTATGCCTCTTTGATCATGCTCACTCATTCAGACACCCCCCCCCCCCACACACACACACAAAACTTCAAATTCATTTATTTTACACAAAGAGGAATGATAAACTTTTGCTTTTTAAACTTCAGATCTTCAGATGAACTTGATGGTAAATCAGAACCATAATTTAAATACAGCATAGTGAAATTGTAAAAAACACCAGTCTTGGGATTATTGGTTTGCAACATCTGGGCCAGCTGAGATTGTGTCCCATAGTCACAAATAAATGATGTTGGTATGAAACTCACTCTAGTAGCTCAGAGTGACCTACACATGCATTTGTTCATGAGTAATTCTTTATGTTTTTGTAAAAACCAAAAACAAAAATCTTTGTTGACTAAAACTGACTAAGACTAAAACTAAGAGGGCCGTCAAAAACAACGCTGTTCCGAATGCATATTCATTCGTGACAGAACTTTTTCTACTGAAGCTGAAGAACAGCCTGTGGTTCTCACCTGTTTGGAGTTGGTGAGATACAGCTTGGCAGCCAGGTTGAGAATCTGTAGTTTGACTATGTCCTCCTCATAGGTGAATGACTTGGCCATTTTCCTGAGAACATCCGGAGCAATCTTTGGAACATGCTCACAGTATTCTCCGATCAGCCACAAGATACTAGCCCGCGCCATCGGCACCTGTGAACAGGTGAAATGTGAACATCTACATGCACATACATTATTAGTGACGAGTACTTAGCAAGGCCAAAGGACAGGAGGAAATCTGGAGGTTAGCCTCACCTGGATGTTGTCTGTTAGCTTGGCCATATGTTTGATGATGTCACTGTGCTTCTCTGGTTGCATCTGCAACAGTTTCTTGATGACAACTACAGACTCAGCTACCACCAACTCTGTATAGGAACATAAGACACATTTGAAATCTTTCTGGGTAGTTTAATTAAAGCTCAACTTAACTCATATGTTTAATACGTTTGCAGCGGTCTCTAATGGGAATTAATGTCTTATAAGCAAGTCTCTGGGAAAACAGCTCCGGTGTACCCGTGTGAGGATGCAAAAGTCAGCTGGAGGAGAAAGCCTGAGAAAATGACAGGATCTGGAGCCCTATTTCCTGATATTCGGACATCTCTCCTGTGATTGGCTAACAGTGACACGACTCTACCTCTGACTCTGTTTGCTCTGCAACGTTGATGTTTTATCTCCACAAATAACACAAGCTTGGAGGAGTTCTGCTGAGGGGTGGAGTTGCTAATGCTAACAGTTAGCTTCGACTAGCACAAACATTCTCTGCTGTTTTCCTAAACCAACATGTCTTCCCCATCGTGAGTATAGATGGATGAGTCCATGAATGTGACAGTGCAACGTAGATCTGTCAGGGTTTTCTAATCGTAGAGTTTCACCGTCTGTTTTCTGTCAGAAGCTACTGCAGGAGATAGGTGTAGGAGACTATTTTATATTAGAAGCTAATGCAGGAGATAGGTGTAGGAGACTATTTTATATTAGAAGCTAATGCAGGAGATAGGTGTAGGAGACTATTTTCATGTTCAGCCTGCATGAAACACTCTGAGAGCCTCATTATAATCAGAAATAATCATTAAAATATTTTATCAGTGAACTTGCTCTTTAACATGACAGGTGTTTCAAGGAATAATCTCAAAGTAAATAAAGTCTCCTTGAACCAGGTGTTAAAGTTACAGTCCACATGTGTGGTCTAGATTTAGGCCTTACCGTCTCGGTTGGACAGCAGCTGCACCAGACCATTCAAACACGTGTCCCTCACTTCACCGATGTTTGTTGCACAGCGGCCGATAGCTTGAATCGTTGCAGCCACGAAATCTTTATCCATGCTTTTAATGTATGTCTGCCAGGAAAGAAGAAGACACCAAATAGTAACTCCTAACACACCATTTCCCTGCCGGGTTGGCAGTCTTTGCTCTTTTAAACATATTGGTCAGTCCCATTCACCATACCTGGAACTCTCTCAGTATGGTGGAAATATTCGTCTCATTTGCTAGATTTGTGAGAACCTCCAGCTGAAAAAAACAACAATCAATCTCACTGATCTCATCAAACGCTTTGGCTAACAGAAAAGAGAGAGACCTTCAGGATCTTGATCAGTGTTGGGTCAGTGGAGCGGATGTAGAAGCTCTTCAGGTACGGTTCAAACATGCCCTGAAATATGGGAAGGGCCCACAAGTTTGTTAGTGTTAGAAGAGCTGAACAGGTCTAGAATAAATTAGACCAAAAAGATCGGCTTACACGTCTTCTGATGGTCATTGTTGCCACATTCTGGAGGACGACAAACTGGACTTCACTGAAGGCAGAAACAGAGGCAGGTGAGGCTAAACAACTGTCTTAATGCTGACTCACAAGGTGAGGTCACCATTGTTATCTTATTCACCTATCCCTCCAATCTGGCTGTGTCCGCTCTATGTAAAGCATACTGTTGTTGAATTTATCCTTTCAGCAGAAACCATTCATCCATCCATTATCATCCTCCCCACCACCGAAGCCAACTCACCACCAGGTAGTGGTCAGTTGACAGCTTTGCCCCACTCTTCACCCGACTGTCCAAGACATGCGGCCGCAGGTCAGATGAAACGACAACAAGGTCGATCATCGAGCTGCGGCCTACGGTACTCTGCTGCCAAGAGCACATACGGACAACATTATGTCTGAACATGGTGTCCATTATGGACAATCCATGACAAGCACGAGCCCAATAACAAAACACAGCCTTAATTCAGATCAGGGGGGCCGTTCCTCCCAACCACACCTCTACAGGTCTCACGGTCGTTACCCACGTGAGCGATAAAGTCCTCCAGCAGAACGAGGGAGTCACCCGGGAGGAGGACTTTCCAGAACCCCCTTTAAGGACCCTAACAAGGATGGGCACTCTCATCTGCAGTTGGGTGCATAAGCACAAACCATGGTCAAGATCCATCCCTCCACACATAGGTGGAGGGAGGCTACCCTCTTGTTCACCTGGGTAAACCCCAAAATACAGGCATCAAAAAGAGGGCAACACGTATGCCCACCCCTGCTTAGTGATTCTCAGTTGGGATAACTCCAGAGTGGTACAGTGTCCAGCCTTTCAAGGGAACTGGTTCTGGAGCCAGAGCCATGCGTTGAGGTTAGTTTGACCATTGACCCTTTGCACCTGACGTCCCGCCACTCATGGGACCACCCCCTTTGCCAAGGTGGATGGCAAAAAGGCAGAAACTCCAGTGAAGCTATCAGAACTTTTACAGTCTTTTACTTAGTTGATTTCACAGTAAAATGGTAACGGCTTGTTGCGCGGATGGCTGCACTAACAGACAAGGATGTAAAGTCAACCCAGTTTTTTCTAATAACTGATGGACACTGAAGACAAATATGAACTGCAGTGATCAATCAAATGGACTAGCAGCCCCCTAAGTAGCGAACATGTTCTTACCGTGTTTAACGATCATCAGTTTCATAATGCAGAAAGCAAGGACAGGGATAAATGTGGTGTTATGTTGATAATCCTAATGGATGGAGGAAGCGTGGTACCGTCCACTGGAGTAAAATGCAAGATAATTTTTTTTGCAATAACATTGTTCCACTGTAGGATTATGTGTTAAAATGATGTTATTTACTTATTATGATGAGTGTCGCCTTTATGAGAGATCTTAGCGTGCGAGTAGCATGTGAACCCAGGGACACACGATGCTATAGTTCCAGCAGGGTGAATTCTGGCAATGTCGGCAACTGGTTTCATTCCCGGAGGAAGAAAGGAACAGGGAGAAATGGGATGTGTTTTGGATGGATATTTCACCTTGGACAACTGGAAGTTCGAATCTCCGAGGAGAAGGTGAACGCATCATTAGCTATGTAAACAAAAACTAAACTATCAAGCTAACGTGATCTTGAACCATTTATTTAGCTGCTCGAGCAGATTAAGATACCTCCTACTCAGATCGTTGTTGCTGGATTCATCACCACCCAGTTACCCATCCCATTTAGTGAAGTGGACCCAAACCTCAGAACGCTTCGTCTGCCACGCTGCTTTGTTTAAAGCTCGCCCACAGTGACTGACGACATTACGCTCTTGCGCTGGCACGCAGCACGGGTACCAAAACAAGGCACCGTTCCATATGACGTGAATCGGTACTCAGTCGGTACTATGGAAGTCGGTACCCGGTTCTCTCTGGCTATTCAGGCTTCCTCCCACAGTCCAAAAACATGACTGTCAGGTTAATTGGTGTCTCTAAATTGTCCTTAAGTGTGTGTGTGTGATTGATTGTTTGTCCTGTGTGTGTCTGTTGCCCTGTGATGGACTGGCATCCAGTCCTGGGTGTACCCCGCCTGCATGCCCAGAGACTGCTGGAGATGGGCATCAGCCCCCCAGGGACCCTGCAAGGGTTAGGGTGGGATTTAGTCAGTAGCTCAGTAAACAAAAGAACAGTTTCCAGAATGTTCCCAAGGCTGGTTTCTTGAACATGTGTTTAATTCCATAACATGAAACTAAGGTTAATAATATAACTTAAACCACAAAAGCTTCGGTTTTACTAAAACTGGTTGAAGCAGAAATGAATACAGCCCACAACAAAACCTACATCTAGTATTTTGTATGATCACCATGGTTTTGAAGGACAGCACCAAGTCCTCTAGGCATGGAAAGAACAGGATGGTGACATGTTACATCATCTATCTTTTTTCCGTTCTTCCAGAAGAACCTCTTCTAGAGCCTGGATGCTGGATGGAGAGTGATGCTCAACTTGCTGCTTCAGAATTCCCCACAGGTGTTGGACTGGGTTCAGATCAAAAGACAGAATTGTCCATCCACACACTGAGAGAGATTTAGAAATGGCTTGTTTTAGGCAAATAATCCAGAAAATCAAACCTAGCCAGAAATCAGCTGGATAGGGTTTTTCTTCATGTTTGGAGAGTTTATAGAGGCAGTAGAGACCTGCATGGCAGAGGGAGGATGGGCCGTCTTTAATGTCAAACTGGACGTCATGTAGGTAACCCTAACCCTAAAAAGAGATTGCAGTGAAAAGTTCCATAAAACATGTCATGACAGATGACTACAGCTCTGGGGTGCATTCATACACTCATAGTCCTAATCTCTATTCCGCAGATTTAACAATCAAAAGTAAAGTTTACATCAGTAAAATGACCAGATAGTAACTTTTAATCTGCAGAAACACACACACACACACACACACACACACACACACACACACACACAAACATCTGTGCTGAAGGTCAGGGTTAGGTCGTCCTGAATTATAAACGACTTTTTACCACTTATGAGTTGAAATAATAAAATGTGTTGATTTACAAGCTAATCTGGCAGTACTCATACACACTATAATAAGATAATTATTAAGTGTTTAAAATGTTCTCATTCACACGAACTGACACACCCAGTCCTGTCTCCCGTTTTGGTTCAGCTCTGTGTCTCGTTAATTGCTCCCACCTGCCTCTCGTTTCCCAATCACCTTAGCTCCCGGCCCTCGTGTATTTAAGCCCCTTCTGTTCTGTGTCTTGTGTCGGTCCATTGTTTCAGTGTCCTGCGTGTTTTTCATTAAAGTTCATGTTAAACGTCCCACCTGTCTGCCTGTCTTCCTCCCCGCGTTTGGGTCCTCGCCTCACCTCCGCTCACCTCGCCCACACGCCGTGACACAAACACTTACCATCTCTGTACCTGAAGGAAGGCGAGGCTTCTGAGGTATTTTTGGTAAAGCCCTCAGATGTGTCAAATTCTGATTTGCCAAATTTGTAAACAATGTGATTTTAATAAAATAGGAATTACTTCCTGATTAATTCAGTTTCTCGCTGACTCTCGAACCGGCCATTTTGGGAACAAGCATTTTGAAACCATCTTCTCCTTTGACCTCAGGTCAGAGCCTCTCTGCAACGCTGCGGATATCAGACAGGCGGCCACCAAACAGCCGTAGACACAAACAAGTGTTCCAGCTTCCTGCTGTGACCTAGAGAGATCTCAGACTAGACGGGTCGTATCGGAGCTCCTCTACGGGTTCCTGGTACCTCAAGGTCGATGTCCATCCCGACCCCCCATCACATTAAATCACTTCGTATCCACTACATCACATACCATTAGTCATACCTTGTCTTGTATAATCATTAGTTTAGGAAAAATAAATGAATTCATTTTTTAAACTACAAACTTGACTCTGTCTGAATTAATATGAAATGTGTTTATGGTCCCTGAACAAGTAAAGTAACTAGAAACTACTTAAAGACCAATCAGATTGATATTTCATATTTATATGGAATCATCACACCTGGTTGGTCATTTGTTACAGGTGTAGCCACTCCATAACGCTACACTGAACAGTGGCCAATCAGAAGACTGCGTTAGGTGAGAGAGCAATCCCTAATAAGTGTAAGACAGGAAATCATAGCAGACCTTTGACCCTGATGTTGAGCTTCAAGCTGCACACCCTCTCCTGGGTGAGGGATGCTGAGGGTTACATTACAGATTACAGATTACACAAAGGCAGCTGCTATGTGCTGTAAATTAGCTTCAGGGCTCTGGAGGTTTACTTTCCTGCCTCGCCGCCCATTTTGCTGTTTTCTGCAGCTCTGGTGGATGAGCTCTTTTCTCCCATGTGGATCTACATGATTTGTTATTCAAGTTTCCTCTTTATACTGACTTTAAAACTCTTAAGTGGTTTGATTTCTATTTCCATTTCTGAAGACATCTGAACAGACATTTAAAGGTAAACCACGAATAAAGCTGACCTGTGACTCCTCAGGAGACGAACCAAGGCTTTGGCAATCACCCCGACCTCAGCTTTAGGGGCCAGGTGGAAATAGAGCTGAGCCACGGCCATCACCACCTGGAGCGGACAGGAAATGAAAAGTAACTGACTGCAATGCAGAAACGTACAGCATGGAGCTGGGTGCAGTCCTCTCCTTTTAGCTGTGGAAATGAGCTGTTTTCAGTCCATCACTGGTTTCTGCAGAGCAGATGTGTGTTTACATAGTAAATGTGTTTAAATTGGAGGCAGCTACCAGAAGAGGTGTGTGTGTGTGGGGGGGTGGGGGGGGTGGGGGGGGGGGGTTACTGTGTGTGTGTGTAGGGGGAGGTTTTTACAGTGTGTGTGTGTGTGTGTGGGGGGGGGGGGGGGGTGTTACAGTGTGTGTGTGTGTGTGTGTGTGTGTGTGTGTGTGTGAGTGAGTGTTTGTGTGTGTGTGTGTGTGTGGGGGGGGGTTACTGTGTGTGTGTGTAGGGGGAGGTTTTTACAGTGTGTGTGTGTGTGGGGGGGGGTGTTACAGTGTGTGTGTGTGTGTGTGTGTGTGTGTGTGAGTGTGAGTGTTTGTGTGTGTGCGTGGGGGGTTGTTACAGTGTGTGTGCGTGTGTGTGTGGGGCGGGTTGTTACAGTGTGTGTGTGTGGGGGGGGGTGTTACAGTGTGTGTGTGTGTGTATGTGTGTGTGTATGTGTACGTGTGTGTGTGTGTGTGTGTGTGTGTGTGTGTGTGTGTGTGTGTGTGTGTGTGTGTGTGTTTGGGTGTATGCGTGTGTGTGTGTGTGTGTGGGGGGGGGGGGTTGAATTAGTGTGTGTGTGTGTGTGGGGTGTTATGGTGCTTACACATGAAGCCTAATGTATACGTTTCCGTCAGCTCCATGAGGGAGAGACGCACACGGATGGACAGAGGCAATTTGTCCTCAGACTTCTGCAACTCCTGAGGAGTGCTGCAAAGCAATTCCCCGTCAGGACACCAGTAGCCACAGTGCTGTTCTGTGGTATCCTGTCACGTCTGCGGCCCAGGATAGTGCATTCACTATAGTGTTAATATCAGTGTTGGGAACGTTACTTTAAAAAAGTAATTAGTTATAGTTACTGATTACTTTGTCAAAAAAGTAACTCAGTTACTAACTGAGTTACAAGATCATAAAAGTAACTAATTACCAACAAAAATAACTACTTAGTTACTTTTTCATTAAAGCATGCAAGAATTACTACAATAGTAAAATATAAATGACTAATGACTGAACATAATAAAATGTATGTCCAAATGTTTTATATAAACCTGAATAATTAAAACAAATAGGCACTTAACAGGAGGAACTACTAATAGGAACATTACACTAATCTAGACTATTAAAAGGTCACTGTGTGATATTTAACAAAAACCCAATCAGCTAAAATTTAAAATTGCAAATAGAAACACCTGTAAAGGTTCCCGAGCCTTTAAATGGTCTCTCAGTCTAGTTAAATTACAGAAATAAATGTAATTTTGCACAGCATTCTAATTACAGCTTCACATAATTGTGTCTTTTTAGTAGCATTTCTGTTGCTGCTAATCTAGTAATGGTTAAATAAATAAATAAATATCCTTTAAAATGACACTAGAAGAGGCACAAGCCTAGGACTTAAATGTACTAACTTGGGTCAGACCCAAACACAGAAGAGCTGAAGCTGGGTGGTGAACACACACAGGTAGTTCTAATAACACCTGAGCTCCATGACGTCTGAGACTGATGCATCAGTGTTACAGCGGGACTAAAGACATGATCAGAAACAGGTTACAGCTGGATGATCTAGGAAGGTAGAAGATCAGGACGTCTGAGCGGTGAACAGGTGAGCGGACCTTCGGGACGTCCCGCTGGGCACGGCTGCAGACCCGCAGATTCGCTGCTGCAGCAACAAATCTGCGGGTCTGCAGCCGTAGACTATTCATCACGTCTTCCTCGTTCTTCACAGGCCATGATGCTCTTAAACATCTGCCTCTTTAGCTCCTGATCAGCTGATGATGACAGCTTCAACACACCGCACTGCTTAACGCACGCATTTCCTTACCAGTAACAGGAACAACGTTTTGATAAAAGAAGCGGGTAATTAATTAGTTTGCTTGTTACAGAAAGACATATTTTTTATTAACGCGGTTATTTTAAACGGAGTTATTCCCGTTGTGTCTACAGAATGCAGTGACTGAGACCGTGAGGGTCTCCGCCCACCCGGCCAATCATCATCGTGTTTGTAAGTGCGTTACCGACACCTCTCTCTCCCCGGCTGCAGCTGAAGTGTGGCGGTCGGAAAGCCTCACACTGTTGCTCAACGTTCGACAAGCACATAGTAACGCACAGCGTTCCGTCCCCAGTAACGGTAACGGCGTTGCAATGGCGGGAAAAGTAATTAATTAGATTATTCCGTTACCTATAAAAGAACGCCGTTAGAAACGCCGTTATACTTAAACGGCGTTACTCCCAACACTGGTTAATATTGTGTTTTTGTGTTTAAGAGTCTTTTTAACACGAACTAAGTTGTCTCTCATCCTACTCCACCTCCTCATGCGCTCGCCACCTCTAAACCCACATCTCCTGTCCTTTCCGTGCACCAATAAAACGCTGAGAAATCCCTGAGCCTGTGGGCGGAGTTTATTACGTGCGGGAAAGCCTGCGGTGTCATCCATCATAAGGTAAACAAAGGTGGACATGAGCTGTGTTGCTTTCGGAGACTCTGAAACACATTATTTTATTACTTTGCTGCGTGTGTCCTCATGATCTTGTAGCACACACACACACACACACACACACACACACACACACACACACACACACACACACACACACACACACAGCTCACTCTCCTCCCATTGCCACTGATCAACAGCTCTGTGCTACAGAGACGTTTACTCAACAGCATCCAGCATGAATGAATCACGCGGCAGCTGACTCCAGCAGAAGTTCTTTATGGAGTCTCGTGAGACTAAAACATGTCGATGCCTGACTGAAAATGTTTGTCCAGGTTAGACTTATCACAGATTTCTGTTATCATGACCTCTGGCTGGAAATAAATATGAACACTGTTTGGTTTTGTACAACTCAGTCACACTGTCATCTAATATGTTTTCATTTAAATGAACATTTTAATCAGTTAGTTTCTACACTATTTTTTAGACTGGAAGCTCAATTAGAAGGGTTACGCCTGGAACACACCAGCTGCGAAGCAGGACGCTCACGAAATTCATGTGCAGTCCGTTCCTCCTCTGTTCACATCAGGCAAGAATTTTCAACGAGCGCTTCTGCTCACGCCTACTGTTGTCAACCCATGACAGTTTGAATAATGTACAGGTGTGTCTTAGACTGCCCACAATAAAAGGACAGCCTGACCTATGCGGGTTGATCAAACAGCACAATGCCACAGATGTGCAACCTTTGAGGGAGGATGCAATTGGCGTGCTGACTGCAGGAATGTCTACCAAAGCATTTGCCTGTGAAATGAATGTTCCTTTCTCTACCATAAGCCGTCTCCAAAGGAGTTTACATTCAATTAGCCTCACAACTGCAGACCATGTGTGACCACACCAGCCCAGGACCTTCACATCCAGCATGTTCACCTCCAGTATCGCGTGAGACCAGCCACAGCAACAATCGGTTTACATAACCAGAGAATTTCTGCACAAACTGTCAGAAATTGTCTCAGGGAAGCTCATCTGCATGCTCGTCATCCTCATCGGGGTCTGGACCTGACTGCAGTCCGTTGTTGTAACCGACTTGAGTGGGCAAACACTCACATTCAATGGTGTTTGGCAAGTTGGAGAGGCGTTCTGTTCCCAGATGAGTCCCGGTGTTTGCTGTTTAGGGCAAATGCCAAACTGCGTGTGTGGCATTGTGTGGGTGAGCAGTTTGCTGATGTCAGCATTGTGGAAAGAGTGGCAGTGGAGTTACTGGTATGTGCAGGCGTATGCTATGCAAAATGAACACAGGTGCATTTTATTGATAGCATTGTGAATGCACAGAGGTAACGTGATGAGATCCTGAGGCTCATTGTTATACCGTTCATCAACGACCATCACCTCATGTTGCAGCATGATAACGCACGGCCCCATATTACAAGGATCTGTACACAGTTCCTGGATGCTGAAAACATCCCAGTTCTTGCATGGCCAGCATACTCACGAGACATGTCACAGATTGAGCATATTTGGGATGCTCTGGATTGGCGTATAAGACAGCGTGTTCAAGTTCCTGCCAATATTGAGCAACTTCACACAGCTACTGAAGAGGAGTGGACCAACGTTCCACAGGCCACAATCAACAACCGGATAAACTCTATGCCCCCCCCCCTCCCATAAAGCAAAGCTGTGCACATGTCAGGGTGGCCTTTTATTGTGGGCAGTCTACAGCACACCTGTAAATTATTCATACTACCTGGCTGCCTTCTAAAATATAAAATTGATAAATGTTGTTTGTGCTGCTCCAAAACCTAAGCGCTTTGATAAAATACACATTCAGTGTAATAATCAATAAACAGTATTGGTCAACAAAGCAAACGTGGACGGAAATGACGGGAAATGTGGGTTTAGAGGTGGCGACCACAAGAAGAGGTGGAGGAGAATGAAGGACCAATTTGTCCATGTTATAAAGTCTCTGAAATCTATAAACACATTAGTAAATACATTATCAGGGGCCGGTTACATGAGTGTTATGGTGGCAGAATACTACAGAACAGCACTACGCCCTCTGTTGTCCCGGCGGGGAATTGCTTTCCAACGCTCCGCTGCCTGAGCAGAAGTTCCAATGTGAAAACCTTTTCGACACTCCATGTGTCTCAGACACTCCGTGTGTCCCAGACACTCTGTGATTGTCTCTTCGTTGGGGACTCACGGAGATGTATAAACCAGGCTTTAGAGTGTGTGTAAATGTCGGCCAGACTCACTGCTGCATTACGGCTCTGCAGGAGCGGCTTGGTGTTCCTTAGCAGCAGACGGTGGTCTGGATCCATCACGTATGGTTTTCTCTTGGCCAAAGCAGCAGCCTCGGCCTTCTCCTTATTCTCTTTCTCATCATCGTCTTCATCCTCATCTGAGCCATAGAAAGTCTTATCCCCACTGCCACCATCCTCCAACAGGGACTCCTGTAGAAACCACAGGATGCAGGAAGATATTGTTTGTCGGGTTATGTCAAACGTTCAATATTTACAGTCTAACTTATCTCTATTTCCATCAGAAGATATAACAATGAGCAATATAATTAATGAGCATCCGACCCACGTGACCGCAGAGCTAGCTCCGGGGAAAGGCCTCAGTCTGAGCCTCGGCCTCGCCTGAAAACTGTTCCGCCATTTTCAGTCTCTCAACTCAGACCATTAGTTGTAGCGTTTGTGCGTCCTTTTTTGGATATTATTTGTGCAATTGTTGGACAAAATGACTTGCTGTGGCATTAATTGCACTAATAGAGTGTCCAAAGAGTCTCCACTTCATTTTTTTCGATAAGTAAAATTCTATTTATGTATTTTAGGTCACTGCCGAGCTGAGCTTAGATTTTAGCATGTACTGTTTAACCATGAAATTGTAAATTTAATTGGATAAAACCCAGTGCATTTAACACAATGCTGCACTTTAGAAAATGGGTTGAAATATAACATGTTGGCGGAGCTGGGTTCCGACTATTGGCTTGTGGAGCTCTCGGGACACCGATGTTTTCCACCCGGTTCTCCCCTCCCCGCAGCTTGGCGCATCTCTGTCTGATCGGGGCTTCTGTGTGCTGCGCGGGCTGCCGGCTTGTGTAGCTCTCGGATGGAAACCTTTCCACCCAGTTCTCCCCAGCGGCAGCTCTGCGCATCTCAGATCGCTGCAGCGCTTGTCTGCTGCGCGGGCTGCCGGCTTGTGGAGCTCTCGGGAGACCTCTGTGTTCCACCCGGTTTTACCCAGCGGTCAGCCCGGCGTACCTCTGACTCAGAAGCTTTGGTGTTGTGCACAGTTAACTCTGGTTGCAGCTAGGCTGCTACCTTCGTTAGCTTAGTTCCCATTTCCGCGTTAGCTTTGGGTTAGCTTCAGGTTAGCTTGTAGCTAGTTCGACCTGGTGTTGTCAGTTGATCCCAGCCTTACAGCCCCACCCTCAGCTCCACCTCTCTTCCCTTTTATGAAATTGTCTGGGCATGACGGAACCTGTGACACGGTCAAAATGGCGGTGGTGGCCACCTCCCATTTTAGTACAAAAACTTACTATTGGAGTCTATGTAAACCCATTGTCCATATATGTATATGTCGATGGTACATGCAGATGACCTGAGATGCGGTTTGTTAATGATGAACACAGGCTTCAAAACTTTCTGAACATCCTCTGTTATTTTGTATGAACAGATTTTTCTCAACAGTTTCAGCTGATTGTCACATGTTATTAATAATAAGCCACAACAGAGCTCAGTAATAAAACATGAGTCTAACCCCCCCACCCCCGCTATGTGCCGCAGCGCAACAGCACAGCTGTCACTTCAGACCCGCGGACCAGCTGATCAAGAGGCAGAGACATAACCCTCCCTTATTTTAATCAACAATAAAATGCAGCAAAGCATATATCTGCAGTTATTCACTGAAGAAAACGTAACTTCTATGAGCTAAATAAAAATATTAAATTGAATATTGGCGTTTGTTTACAATTTTTCTTTAGAGAAAGGCAACTCTCTGCGCATGCTCAACCTATTTAATCGGATTAAATGCTTGGTCTATATATATACATGGCATGATCAGATCATTTCAGTTCGTGACCATGTGACCAGAGATTCGGAAATTTCTATCAACCAAGATTTCAGTCGGATTGAGGAAATTTGGCGCATGTAAACGTGGCTAGTATTTCTTGCTCCATTGTGGTGTGGAGCCGGATGAGGTGCATGACACCATTGTGCATGTTGGTGATCGAGGCTCATTCTCGTTGACTGAGAGCTCCCCCTGGTGGAAAAGCAGCGCTATTGGTCAACGCAGTAGGCTTGCATAAATTAATCGTTTGGCTAGGCGCCAGGGGAGGGACTCGGGACAAAATAAAATATGAAAGATTGACTTTTTCTCATAGAACAGGGTCAGAGGGTCAAATTTAAGGAAGTTATTCAATAATTTTAACTTGTATACCACAGCTTTAAGGTCCCATCCTGATGATAATTATTATTAGTCATACATCTCTAGCCCACAGATGTGAGTTTAATGACTTACGTTGAGGTTTGGATTGAGGAACTGGGTGCGGGCGTAGCGGGTCAACATGTTGATGATGACTACCTGCCCCCACTCCTCCACATCAATCAAGAGGTTACACAGCTTCCTGTAGTTCTTATGGATGAGGTCAATGCGCTCTGGACACACCTCCTCGAAGGCCATGACAACACTTCCTGCCACCAGCTGAGACACATTTAAACCCACACAGAAGCATGTTTCCATCAGCTGTGACAGATATTTTTACAAGTTGAATTTCCATCCTAGTAACAGCTGAATTATTAATAACCAGGAGTGTTTACTTTGGAAAGAGCTGACCCAGCTTTTGATTTTTCTGTTCGTGCCGAGAAGAAAACTTACCGTGGTTTTATCAGCCAGAAGTTTTTCTATGACTTCTATCAGCTGGTCTTTCTGTTCAGGGTCCAAACTGATACAAAAATAAAACAACTGGCTCACAATGTTTTGGTTTAGGGTAAAAACATGAAGCAACGTAAGACTGCATGGATGTTGCACCACAGTCTGACCAATGGTGTTGTATGGAATTATGGTACCTGTAGAGTTTAGGGATAGCATGGGCAGCTGTCTTCCTGACGTACGGAGACATGTCTGAAGCAGCTTCTTTAATGGCCAACATCATGATCGGGACAATGATGGTAACTCGAATGCTGGAGAGAACACGAAGGGCACTGGCTCGGATCAGCTGGTTCGGATCCTACAAAAGAGAATAACAGGAAGGTGGGATTAGGTTCCTGTGATTACATCTGAGATGACACAGACGGCATATGAATTGTGAAAAAGGGGGGCAGCTGTTTTGGTGGCCTAAGGATCAGGTCCCTGCTTTTTGCTGATTATGTGGTCCTGTTAGCTTCATCAGACAGTGATCTACAGCTTTTGCTGGAGTGGTTTGCAGCTGGGCGTGAAGTAGTCAGTTATAATCTAGGGGGGGAGCTGGCTGAGGTCAGCGTTCCCTTCAGTCCAGAGGTCGACGTTCCCTCCAGTCCAGAGGTCGACGTTCCCTCCAGTCCAGAGGTTGGCGTTCCCTCCAGTCCAGAGGTCGACGTTCCCTCCAGCCCAGAGGTCGTCGCCGCCGCCTCCAGTCCAGAAGTCAAGGACGTCTCCTCCGGCGTCTCTGCCTTCGGTCACCGCCAGTCCTGCCCTCATCAAGCGCGGGCCCCCAAGAGCCCATCCTCGTCTCCTCCTCTGCCCCAGACGCAGGCCCCCAAGAGCTCGTTGTCATCTCCTCCTCTGCCCCAGACGCAGGTCCCCGGACTTTACTGGCTCCTGCCTCCTCTCCACCGGTCCCTCAGTTCCTCTTGGCCCTCCTTCCTGGTCCCCCTCCTCCCGCCCTGCGCTGTGTTCCTGTGGGCGTCTGGGATCCGCCCTTTGAGGAGGAGGAGGGGGGGGGGGGGGTACTGTCACACCCTGTCTTGTCTCCCCATTCTGTTTAGTCATGTGTCTCTGTTAGTTGCTCCCACCTGCCTCTTGTTTTCCAATCACCCAAGCTCCCAGCCCTCTTGTATTTAAACCCCTTCAGTCCTGTGTCTCAGGTTGGTTTATTGTTTCAGTAGTCCAGCGTGTTCTGTTAATAAAACCCTTTTGTTAAACCGTTCCTGCTTGTCTGCCTGCCTGCCTTTGCACCCGCATGTGGATCCTGCCTCCGCTTCACTCACCGGCACGCTTGTGACACTATTGCCACGAAATTTCTGATGAGTGATCCTAGTATGATCAGCAATAAAACACGAAATCAAAAGTCGGAAGGCGTGGCCAATTTTTTCAAACAGCGCTCCCCTGGGTGCATGGCAAATTTTGACATCACGCAATGGAATTACATTTGCCTCTCATTTCCTCAATTCTGATGGTATTGGTCCAACAATTCAGGCGATTGATACAAATCCAAACCTCAATAAATATTACCCTGAAAATCTAGTGGGCATGGCTTAGTTTCTTCACTAGCGCCCCCTAGGTCCAATAAAAATGTCAGCCCCAAGTCATGCTTTGACTGAGGATTGTAAAATTTTTTACACTTATGTAATGTCTTAGGACCTACCAAAAACTCTCTTGGAGCCATGCTCCATATCTCACAGGAAGTTGGTCATTTTGGTCCAAGTACGCCATTTTGTCATTTTTGCACACGGCAAAGGTACGTCAATTCCACAGCGCCCTTTTGACCTATCACCTATATACTTCTGCTAAATAATCTTAAGACAAAGTGGGAATGGACTTTCCAAAAGTCTAACGGTGTGGGCGTGGCTAAGCCTCAAACATTGACCTGTCACCACACCATGCTTTACTTTCAGAGCTCCCTATTGGACTCCTTTCACCTAATCAACATGAATCTCTGGCAAAAACAAGTAGACATGTTGGGGTCACTTGGTGTCCAGTACTGGTAGGTTTCAAAAAAGGGCGAGGCATTGGGGGCATGGCGAATTTTGACATCACGCCATGGAATTACGTTTGCCTCTCATTTCCTCAATTCTGATGTTATTGGTACAACAATTCAGGTGATTGATACAAATCCAAACCTTAATAAATATTACTCTGAAACTCTGTTGGGCTTGGCTTAGTTTCTTTACTAGCATCCCCTAGGTCCAGTAAAAATGTCAGCCCCAAGTCATGCTTTGACTGAGGATTGTGAAAATTTGTTTACTTATATTATATACCCAATATAAATAGATGTCATAAGCTGGTGGGCGTGGCCTTTTTTCTGAAATGGCGCCCCTATGACCATCAAGACTCTCAGCCCCAAGTCATGCTTTGACTGAGGATTGTGAAATTTTGCACAGTTATGTAGTGTGCCTGGGCCTACAAAGAAGTCTCATGGAGCCATGTTCCATATCCCACAGGAAGTCGGTCACTTTGTTCCGATTACTTTACGGAGTTGATATTGAGGCTGGAATATTTTGCTAATGTAAAACATTTTTAGTGGGGACTGTTGGCAGGCTAGGAGGAAAGGTTGAGTCAGATTGAGGTGACAGTGATCGCAGTTAAATGCACGTTGGGGTGTCTGGCGCGCATAGACGCTCGTGCGCAACCGGTTGCGGGGCGGTGGGTTGGGAGAGCATTGGGGATGGGGTTGAGGGGGTGCGGACGGAGGATGAGCAGCTTCTTTGCGAGGGCCGAACGACGCTGCTTGCAGCTTTAATTTGGTTATTCTTCCTCTCAGACTGTAATTGATTTCATTCTCTGTCGCTCCATCGCCCTCACTTGTAATTTGAAGTTAACCAGGTTGACAGCTTTCTGGTTGCTAAACCTAGCATTAGCGTTAGCAGCAGAACCCGAATCATTACCCAGCTTGTCGGATGTTACTGCTTCTTAACGCCACAAAATCTGATAACCACCAAAATGTAGTTATTCTACCTCACAAGAGGCCCTAACATCAGGCCAGGATATGGATTTTTACTCAGAAAAACAGATGACTCATGTTATAAAGACTGGTGTAAGCCATGAATAACAAATGCACAAAGATAAAAGAAGAAAGGATAGATACACAGAAAGACAATCAGACAGACAGACCCTAACCCTCCTATACATTTTGGGGATTTGGGGGAACGTGACTGTCTAATGCAACAAAATGACATACAGAAATAGGTGAACAGTTTTTTTCCCTACCTTTCAATATCACTGTTACATATGTAAGTAATGTTATTATCACTTTATATTTCTTGTCTATTTGAAACGGAAAAGGTTTTCATACTATTTCACGGTTCCGAGGTAACTCAGGCTCTGAGTAACTTTAGCTATAATCACTTTAAAACAGCTGGGGGTTGCTACCCCGTTACTTGACCTAATCTTGGAGTTGCTTTAGCAACCCCTTGTTACTGCCTGGCGCCGCCCATGGTGGGGGTAGATAGCAGCAGCTCGCCCCTGCGACCCAACCCTGGATAAACAAGAGACTGAGTGGATGGAAAGAGCAAGGGTTATATTTATAGGCAACTTTTTATACTTGGCCAGGGGATATTAATAAAAGATAGGTGTATGGCCTTCATTACGTTAAGATTTTTAGTTTTAATCATAGAAAGGACATCTGCCGAAAACATTTACATAAATATTCAGTTTTCTTGCTATCATGCTGTTTAACAGTGAGGAACTAAAGCTTTAGGTTTCTTTTCAGTTAGTGACATGTAGGGCAGAGCTCATACTAGACAGTTTTGTTGTCTGCCATTTTTACTGACAGGGTAAAAAAAAACAGTCATGATTGTTTTTCCCCAATACTTCAATTTTAACGATATCGGCTAGAGGAAAAATCCCTCTGAACAGCACGTGTAGAGAAGTATTAAAACCTCAGATGAAAAAGGTTTGGGGATTTTAACGGCTGGAATTTTAAGAAAATCTGATGTTTGTGCCCGGAGCGGGAAAAACAGAAACTAGCTTTCGGTCTAAGCCCTGGGTAGCTGGTGACGTTTCACAAGGTCAACCCCTGACTCCGGCGTTTCTGCGTTAGCGTTATAGCAGAACAACATGTCATCAGTCTGATGTAGCTTCTGAAGCCTCTGCTAGTCGGTCACACTTGTTTTTTCTCAGGGATACGGCGACAAGAACGGATAATGGATTACCGGAGAAGTTCAACCAAACTCCAACCCCGCTAGCTGGATCACTACTGGAGGTGCAGACATGTTTTAGACCGTTTGACTCAGAAGACCCGTGACCCGATATGGACACCGAGGAAGATTCTGTTCATCTTCAGAACCAAAATCGATTCAGTTTAATTACTTTTCTTAAATATTGAATCTCTGTGCTGCACCAGGAGCTCTAAGCTGACTGCTCACATTGTACGTCTGGTAGCAACACGTCGGCCCTAAAAATATGCTAATAATAGCAGTTTTTACTCAACATGTTAGACTTTTTTGTCTTGTTTTGCCTGTTGTCCTTCGGGAGTGCTGCAGGAGGACACACAGGGATTTATGGGGGTTGGATGAGGAAAACGAAATAAAGAGAGTAAATCTGTGTTTTGTGATCAGTTTAATTTGACACGAACACGACAAACACGCTTTCTTGACAATCTTTGTGAGTGAAAAAACGTGTAGAAATAAAAATGAACAGCGTGTGTTATCAGGGAAATAGCGGGCGAGCGGTGTTGATGCATGACTGCGCATGCGCAATGAGCGGTTCTGGTACTTTTTGGGTCGTAGCTGCTCGTCAGCGCCGCTTCAACAGTGCGATACCCTCACGAGGAACGAGCAAAATATTAAACACGCCAGAAGTCCGTGCGAGCTCACGATTGCTGATCGGTAGCTGGTCATGTGGTGTTAATCGCCTCTCGTAACCCCCTGTACACTACACGGCGCAAAACTCGCCCCGATCTTGTGGATTCTCGCACGAGTGGAAAATCGGGTCAAAAAAGTGAAAAAGTCGCACAGTGTACGCCCGGCTTTAGGCTGCTACCCCCCGCAGATGAAACCAGACTGATGGATGTTTCTTCTGCAAGGTCTCACATTCCAGTTCTTTGTCAGTCTAATGGGGGCCTTTCCCTTCAGTACTTTGTCAGAGGAATTTCTTCATTTGTTCCTTGGAATTCTGTCAGCAGAAGCTGAGAGTACGTCTCCCAGATAATTTATGGCAGTATGATCATTGCTGCTATAGTTCCTGGCTGTTGTAGCATGTTTGGACCTTTATGTCCCTAAAATGATCTGAGATGTGAGGTAAGACATTCACGTTGCCATGGTAACACTAAAGGAAAATAAGATGCACCTTTAAGCCCCGCTGAAACGTGGAAATGGAGAGCAGAGCGAGATCTTGCTGCTCTTCGGCGTATCGAACCAAGTAAACATAAACCAGCTTCTTCACCTGGAATCAGGAGCAACACAAGATTAGAGATTAGGATTAATCCAGAATTAACCAATAGTGTGTGTGTGCGTGTGTGTGTGTGTAGATATGTGTGTGTGCGCGTGTGTGTGTGTGTGTGTGGGGGGGGGGGGGGTGTTACCTCAATGTTTTTACATGCTACGTTCTTCACCACAGCTGGGAAGAGATCTGAAGCGTTTTTGCCTCTAGCGATCATCTGCAGAGAAACACGACCTACATAGTGAACAAGGTGAGACTCCTTTTGAGCACAGATGATGCATCTGTATCTACTCTGATGCCTTTTCTCAGCTAGAATCTCCTTGGTGCTCCAGGGCTGATGAATGAGGAGGTGTGGAGCTTCACAAGCAGAAATCTGACACATGTCATGAATATTTAACAGTCTGTCTCTCCTGACACCGTAGACGTGTGGATCTTAGAGTCTAAGACATGAAGGTTTGTTACGATGAGAGTCGAAATAGATGACAATGAGTGTAGTGATTGGTCCAGGTGCTGTCTTTGCCCCACCCACATGGTACAGCCGGACCTGCTGGTCAAAGTAAACATCAACCCAACTTACAGCCACGATCCGCTTCATGGCCTCCAGCTTCAGAGAGTCTTTGTTGCTGTCCAGCATCTCTTTCAAGTCGTCGTGTCTGCAGGAAGAAAACATCCAGAAGGAATTCACTGCTTAGTTTTGTTTGTTTCTGAAGCTGAGCAGGAAAATACAGATGCTTACCAAAAGGTTTCAAACAAGAGACACACACACACACGAGGAAACTGCTCATGTTTATCATTATCATCATCCTGACTGGTCTGGTTAAGAATGGAGAACCGCTTTGAGTGAAACCACAGCAGCAACAGCCCTGCTGTTCATGCTTGCATCATCATTTTCTACACTCACACTGATGTGCACTGCTGACATCACCAACATGAGGGTTCAGCACAGGGATTGACTGTTTTGGACACACTGACACATGAAGCTGAGAAGTTAATCTCTTATTCTATAAATCTGGACACTCCTCAGGAGAGGTGTGACATTGTGGCATCATCAAGTCATCTCCATGTCATGTTTTTGTTCTGCTCAGCAATTAAACCAGGTGATTTCAATCAGCACAGTGAATTAACCTGGTTCAGTTGCTGAGCAGAACAAAAACATGACATGGAGATGACTTGATGATGCCACAATGTCACACCTCTGCTCCTCAGACACTTCCCTAAACACACAGCTGGAGCTGCTGCAACAAGCCAGGATGGAGGAGTTTAGCTGACACAACTAATCCATTTAATCAATTTTTAAAATAGCTGACAACTTATTTAGTCATTGATTAGTAGTTTTATAATCACGTTTTACCATAAGTGTAACACAATCTGTTACATCGGCTATAATCGGTTACATTTGAGGCCAGTGTGTGGCAGTAATGACCACCAGTGGGGCAGTAGAAGAAGAAATCAGCCAATAGGTACCCTTGTTTTCCTGACGTAACGCACATGGCTGACGCGCATGCTCACACTGAGGAATGGTAAATGGTCTGTTTGTATAGCGCCTTTTTAGGGGTTCTACAACCCCCCAAGGCGCTTCACAACACAACCTCGTTCACACGCTTGTGATGATGAGCTACGAGGTAGCTACAACTGCCCTGGGGCGCACTGACAGAGGCAAGGCTGCCGAACACTGGCACCACCGGTCCCTCTGACCACCACCAGCAGGCAAGGTGGGTGAAGTGTCTTGCCCAAGAACACAACAGCAGCATTCTCTGGTCGGAATCGAACCTGAAACCTTCAAATTACTGGACAACCTGCTCTAACTCCTGAGCTACTGCTGTCCCTGTACTGTAACTCACTTCTGGTTGGCCTACCTAAAAAAAAACCTTCAGTTAGTTCAGAACTCAGCCACAGGGGTCATCACTGGCACTTCCCTATCTCACCACATCAGTCCGGTCAGTCAGCAACTCCACTGGCTCCCAGTTAACCAATGGATGAAGTTCAAAGTCCTACTTCTCACTTTCAAAGCTGTACACAATCTTTGTCCCCCATATCTATCTGATCTCATACACATTGTTACTCCAGTCTGCTACCTAAGATCATCATCTTCTGTCCTTCTTACTGTTCCATCCTTCCTTCTTACCTCCATGGGCCTCAGATCCAGGGGCGCAGATAGGATTTTCAAACTGGGGGGACAAAGTTCCAATGTACCCTCCCCCAAACACACACACATACACACACACACGTACACATACACATACATACACATACACACACACACACACACACACACACACACACACACACACACACACACACACACACACACACACACGCACGTACGTACGTACGTAAGTACATATACACACACACACACACACACACACACACACACACATACGTACGTACGTAAGTACATATACACACACACACACACACACACACACACGTACACATACACACACACACACACACACACACACACACACGCACACGCACATACACATACACAAACTATTGCAAGCGCCTTAACTAGAGCTCAGTCAGTTTGTGTAATTTCATCCAATGGTTTACGTAAAACTAACACTTTCATATACGTGTTTGAAGCCATTATGCAGAGGAACGCTGGCAACAAAGCTCTGTCTGATCAACACTATAAATGATAAATGATCTGCACTTGTATAGCGCCTCTCAGAGTAAGGACTCCAAAGCGCTTTACACTACATTGTATTATTCATCCATTCACACACACATTCACACACTGATGGTGATGAGCTACGATGTAGCCACAGCTGCCCTGGGGCGCACTGACAGGCGAGTATTATTACCCCCGTGCAGTCCGGCTTCAGAACTGGCCATGGATGTGTCTCGGCAACACTTAAAGTGCTGAATGACATCATGTGTGCCATTGACAATAAGGAATATTGTGTGGCTGTGTTTGTTGACTTGGCTAAAGCCTTTGACTCTGTAGACCATAACATCTTACTCAGTAGGCTCAAACATACAGGACTTTCTCAGGCATCTCAGACACATGACTCGCTGGAGGGACTATGTCTCTCAGCTGGCCAGGGAACACCTTGGGATTCCCCCGGAAGAGCTGGCCCAAGTGGCTGGGAAGAGGGAAGTCTTGACTCTGGATAAGTGGAAGAGAATGGATGGATGTTTTTAACTTTTAACTTGATTTTCATTATTTTGTTGTACAGTGACCTTGGGCTCCCTGAAAATGCTTTAAATAAAATGTGTTATTATTTTGATCGGTTATTGATCTTGAAGGTAAACACAATCTGTGTGAATTCTTCCCTAAGTGAGCCAGAGCACCCTGGTCTAGAAGGACCCTCAGAAATCCGACACCAGCACAACTTCTCCCTTTTCACCTGATTTGGTCCAGTCCTGCAGAACAACAGCTGTGAATTATTTAAGCAGCACACTCAGGTTACCCAGAACCAAAGCCTGGATCCGCTGGACTCACCTGCTGGAAACCAAACTAGGAGGAGCCGGTGTCAGGTTGATCTCAGAGAACCCAGTGAAGTATGACAATAATCAACTCCCAGAGAGACTGGGGCGTTCTTACGGAGGGATTTGTCCATGTGACCTGAGCAGGTCAGCTCAGAGACAGTGGAACAAAAAACAGTTTCTACAAGGAGTTCACCAGTCGACAGGAAACCAGCCTGCAGATGTGGAACTCTACTGGTTTAGATTAAGAGTCAGTAATCCATCATTTAGGCATGAGCTATTATCTGTTAGGATGAAGACAGAAATACTAGTCCATGACTTTTAGTTTCAGATCTGCAGATTCAGTCAGAGTCAGTTTGTTGGTGCCAAAGTATAACCTGACAGGTGTAGCTGACTACAGGTAAGCTCCTCCTACATCCTACTCTAACAGGAAGTGGTGAATGCATTTGGATCATCCTACCGCAGCGGCTGAGTTTGGAAACTGCCACCTCCACCTCCTTCCTCCAATGTGGCTCGCTCCTCTTGATCTCCACCTCCTCCACCTGTACCCCCAGACCGTAGGTGTCGCAGCTCGTCTGGCTGCAGGGCGCTGTACCACGTCTGCTGCCCACTGTCAGGACTCAGGACAGGGCTCTTGTCCTCCTCCTGGCCTTGGACCTGACTCTGCACTGTTTTCACCATGTTCACTGCATTCACCGGCAGCTGCAGCAGCTTCTGCATGGCAGTCATTCTCCCAACTTTCAGTCAGTGCCACGTGTGAAGCTGGGCTTGTACTCTTTACAGGTTTGACAGAGCAAGACAACCAGCTTCTGCTATAAGTGATCTGTCTTTGAGGGGTTAGAAGAACACCTTTTCCTCCAGGACTGGCAGAAAAATCCCCTTCAAGTACGCTCCATCAGTAGGACAGCTGGTCTAATGCTGCAGCCTCGGTCTTCTCATCCACATGCAGCACCGACTGAGCTCAGACGTCAGCTGCTCCGCAAATGGATGCTTGGCTTGGGGGTGGGGGGGTCATGTGCAATGACGCCTCTTCACCAGTGGCTCCTCCCTCTGATCACGTGGTTCCTGTTGCTGTACCAACCCCCCCCCCCCCCCCCAATGCTCGTTACCTTTATTTATGTAGGGAGCTAGCTAGCATCTGTTCCTGTCAGCAGCTCCTGACTGATGTGACGAACCTCCTGGCTGATCCATTTAACCATCCACACCAAGCCTCTGCTCTGTCGTCCAGCATGACTCAGCTTCCTTCTCCCTGTCGTGATGGGGATGTCTCTCCCTCTCATTCCTTCCTGGCTCAAACCAAATGTCAGGAAACACATTTTAATCATGGTCTGCTGGTCATTTCATACCACGTTCTGGTACTACCTCCTCACCTGTAAGCAAAACGCTAACCAGCATGGATCACAGCTCAAGCAGGCTAAATAATTGGTCCACTTCAACCGGTCTATGGTCATCAAAGCCACGCTGTTCCCTAAACCTCACCGGGCAGGACACACAGAGTCCCACCAGCTAAAAAGCTACCTATGAATAAATCATTGATCCCAACAGCAGTCACAGTAACAGTAAAGGAACTTCAATGAGCCTTAAAGGTGCAATATGGAAGCTGAATAAAGAGCTATATAAATAACCCCTCCACAGGGCATTTAGAGCTGCAGTATTTCCTTTAACATCTATCATTTAATTAAAATGCAATCAAATGTTTATTTTTACGGGCACAACACTGGGCTTATGTTTACATCTACCAGCCAGTAGAGAGCACCGTTGCTGGTTATCAAACAGTCCACTCGGCCCAGCGAGGCTGGCTCTGCAGAAAATGGCAACCCTAACCCTCGGTAAGTCAAGCAGCTGCTTCTGAGCCCAGAAGGTGTGGTTATCCTTTTCAGAAGAGGAGCGACCATAAAAGATTTCAAACCAAAGTGAGTTTGGGTCAAGCCTACAACAGATGGACGTAGGGCTGGGCAATAAATTGCAAATTTATCATTTCCAAAAATTCTGACTCTAATCAATAATTTTTCCCATGTCAATAAATTTGATAATGAAAAGATTAAAAGATGTTTGTAGGTTGGCAACATTCATGTCCCTTTAGGACGCTGTACTTCTCTTTGAACATCTTAGGTGTTCTTAAATGTGGAATCATTTATGAAATCCCATGCAAACTCTACAACAAAACATACATAGGAGAAACCGGACGCCAACTCAACACACGAACAATAGAACGTAGAAAGGAGTGCGAGAAAGAGGCAAGTCGAAAACACACAAGAGCAGCAAAAGAAGAAGCAGAAAGTACAATAAAGAAGTCAGCCGTAACAGATCACTGCACAAGAGAAAACCATATAATGGACTGGGACAACACAAGGATCATAAACACCGAACAACAAAAATACAAAAGATGGATCAAAGAAGCTATCGAGATAAGGAGACGTGGATGTGGGACCGTGAACAGGGACAATGGAGTTTACACGTTGGGCCATGCATGGGACTGCATCGTCGGAGAGGGGAGAGCGGGCAGCAGAGGGCGACAACGTCCTCTGCTGCCCACGGATAAACGGAGAAGGAAGTGACGCCACCATCAGCGTCAGCCTGAGGAAGTCTGCAGCCACAGACGAAACGTAGCGGGAAAACAGGTAACAACACTGTTCTGTGTTTTAAAAAAAGAACGACAGCATGGAATTAGAACCACGACACAGCAAGAACACATCTAAGATGTTGCTTTGGTGTTTGAAGAGACGTGTTCTCTCAGCATGGTGCTGATTACACCACACTTTATTTACATTCAACCTGCATCATCATCATCATCATCACAAACACAACAGGTGAAGGTCTGGACCCCTGTGATGTCACACGGCACACCGTCTGAACCAGCTGGGCTGGGATGAGGAGCCTTCACCTAGGAGGACTCCTGACTGGTGCATCGTACAGAATAACAGTTCAACGGCTCTCATCTCAAACCAAACATGTGGAACACGCCAGCATCATGCTCACAGATGCTCCTGCCTGTACAAACATGCTGCAACACTCTATACAGCTGCTCCCTCTGGTGGAGAACAGGAGAACATTGGCTTTCCAGGCTGACGTGAGAAGAGCGGTGAGCTGACAGCAGGCAGCAACAACTATTTAGATTTATCACAACAAGCTGCATGTCCACCCTACACAAAAATAGGCCATTTAATCCAACTTGGACAGCATATATGCCCTTACTGGGCTCCAGCCAGGTGCAAAAACATGCAAATAAAACTGTTTCATTCACTTGTCTGAGGTCAAGTTTTAAGTTCAATACAAATTGCAGAAGACCTAATGAAATCTCGCCTAATGGAGAAATGAACAGTAAAAATCATAAATCTGACTACTTTTCCCCAAAATGAACCCTAACATCGCAGAACACGATTATTTTGTGCAGATGAAACTGGATCAAAAACTGTGGTTTGAATGGAAGTCAGTGGGACATTTTTGTCCTCAAAAGTCAAGAGAGGATTGTAACTTTTAAATCTGTGGCTACACAAAAACTGTTGAAGCTAAATTTTAAATATTTTTATATATTTCATAACATAACCAAGACTGCTTTGTGATAAAGGCCCCCAGGAGGGAAAAACTGGCATTTGAAGGGAAGTTTTTATGTTTGAGCAGGGCTGAAGTTGTTTAACAGATAAAAATAAAATATGAAGGGATACATTTTTTATGGCTACTTTTAAGTGGTTTTTGTCCTTTAAAGTCACAAGAGTATTGTAAATTAAAGCCGCCTGACGGTGAACTCCTCCACTTAATGTCAGGTTTACACACACAGGTGTTTGCAAACACCTGTGTGTGTGTAAACTGGTTGAAACATTTAAACTGTAACACTGATGAAGACAGCAATGTCCGAACGTTAGTTTCTTTTTACTTGCACTTATTAAATATTTTATTTGACCCGAATGCTCCAGCCTCCTTCTTCTATTCCCCATTTTAAAATGCCCCTTTATCTCTAAAATATTGGAAAAGGTGGTGGATCAGCTGATTACTTTTCTGGAACTACACAGCAGTTCTTATAAATTCCAGTCTGGTTTTGGTAAAAAGCATTCAACAGAAACAGCTGAGCTTAAAAGTTTCCAGTGAGAAAGTTATTTTTGGTCAAATAACGTATTATTTTAGCACAAATGAATTGTTAACACAATTTCTACATGCACATAGGCAGGGCTTTTCAACTACTACTGCACTAGCTCACATAACCGAGGAATGGTCGACATGTCTGGACGATAAGAAAGCAGTAGGAGCTGTGCTTTTGGACTTCACTGCAGCCTTTGATGTAATAGACCATGGCCTGCTCATTGCCAAACTTAAAGCATATGGCTTTTCACAAGCTGCATTGATGTGGATGAACAGTTGTCTCTCTAATAGGTCTCGGCAGGTTTTGTTCAATGGCAGCCTGTCTGAGAATATCAATATCATGTGGCCTATCACAAGGCAGTCTTTTGGGTCCACTTTTATTTTCTATATATATAAATTATCTTCCATATGCTGTTGACAATGCTAGTGTGGTAATGTACGCTGATGACGTCACTCTCTCCACTGCCACAACGATAATACCTGAATTGAATGAGCATTTACAACAGGAGGTAAACACAGTAGTGGATTGGGTGGAGAAGAATAAATTGGTATTAAACATCTCCAAAACCAAGTGTATGACGTTTTGCAGCAGCACTATGTTATCAAAGACTGCTTCACTAAATCTGCAAATTAATAATACCGAGGTGGAGCAGGTCACTACATTCAAACTGTTGGGTGTTAGAATAGACAACTTATTATCCTGGTCGGACCACGTTGACCGTATAGTCAGTATGATGGGCCGAGGAATCTTTATGTCAAGAAACTGCTCTGCATGTTGTTCTAGTGTTGTATTGAAAAATGTTGTTCAAAGTCTTGTTTTATCTCATTTACAGTACCGTACAGTAGGGGTTGTATGAACTAGTCGACTAGTCACTAGTCGACTTCACTGCTCTCTGTAGTGACTTTTTATGCCTGTCATCGACTAGTCGCTGTCATGTGATAATGACAAGATGCAGTCCTCAGAAAAGACAGCAGGTGACGAGCCCCTGCGCGTCTGGTTCGAGGCGGAGGCGACGCGCTGTGCCAGAGCGTCGGTACTGACACCCGCCGTAAAACGGACATTTAACCAAATTGTGACCTTTTCCCTCTTGCAATTTAACCTTCCCCTCACCCCCATCCTAATCTTAACCAGCTTGCGCATGCAAAGCTCTGATCGTTGACACACTCCAGACATCTGTGTCCTGAGCACGGCCACAGTAACATTATCAAATCAGGTGTCACCACTCAAAAACTAATGTAACGCGATCGTTCTTGTCGGCTCATTTCCTTTTATGTTTTCTGTCTTTTATTTTTGCCTGATGCACCCCGCTGCTGTGGAGCGGGGCGCATCATCTGTTTTGTCCTCCGGTGACGCACTGCGACCGGCGAGCAGCTCGCACTCCGCTGTTTTTGCGGTCGGTAGATCTTTTAGAACTGCAGTTCAAAGGTAACTCATGAGATGAATATATATGAACCCAGGTAGCAGTTTTTCTTTAGGATTGAGAGGAGATGCAGGAAGATAATAAACAGACAGGACAGAAAAATAGTCAAATAAAAACAAGTTAGTTTTTGTACCTGGTGGTTGCAACAAACAGACACCATTGAAGGTAATCAGAAGTGAGGAACAGAAAACGAAATAATTATTTTAATGTTTAGAGCAGCAGGAACTCCGAGAGGCTGCAGGCGCATCAGTGAGTTTGCGGCCGCTGCGCAGGGGGAGGAGGGAGAGGGCTGAAGCAGAAACTACTGTTGTTAAAAGAAATGTGTTTAACTTTGAAAATGTGGGCGCAATTTTAACTGTCAAAAACTCCAGCGAACCAACTGACCAATCCCCCCCCCCCCCCCCCCCCCATCCCCCCACAGCTGTTTCAGGTATATGACGTCATCAACGACTAGTCGAAGTCAACTCGATTTTCATTACTTGACTGTCGACT